TTGTCTCTTGTTTGTCGTCTGTTGTGTGTTGTTTGTTGTGTGTTGTGTGTTGTTTGTTGTGTGTTGTTTGTTGTGTGTTGTGTGTTGTGTTTGTTGTGTTTGTTTTGTTTGTTGTTTTTTTGTTGTGGTTGTCGTTGTCTTTGTCGCTGTCATATGTGTGCATGTGTGTGTGGGTATGTGTGTGTGTATGTGTTTCTTTCTGTCTGTATGTATGTATGCATGCATGTATGCATGTATGCATGTATGCATGTATGCATGTATGCATGTATGCATGTATGCATGTGTGTATGTTGTTGTGGCTGTGGTTGTGGTTGTGGTTGTCGTTGTGGTTGTGGTGGTTGTTGCGGTTGTTGTTGCTGTGGCTGTTGCTATTGCTGTTGCTATTGCTGTTGTTGTTGTTGTTGTTGTTGCTGTTGTTGTTGTTGGTTGTTGTTGTTGGTTGTTGTTGTTGTTGGCGTTGTTGGTGTTGTTGTTTGTTGTTTGTTTGTTTGTTTGTTTGGTTGTTTGGGTGTTTGTGGTGTTGTTTGTTGTGTGTTGTGTGTTGATTGTTGTTTGTTGTTTGTTGTTTGTTTTTGTTTTTGTTTTTGTTGTTGATTGTTGGTTGTTGATTGTTGGTTGTTGATTGTTGATTGTTGTTTGTTTTGTGTTGCTTGTTGGTTGCTTGTTGATTGTTTCTTGTTGCTTGTTGCTTGTTGTTTGTTGTTTGTTGATTGTTGCTTGTTGCTTGTTGCTTGTTGCTTGTCGGTTGTTGATTGTCGGTTGTTGGTTAGTGGTTGTTGGTTGTTGGTTGCTGGTTGTTGGTTGTTAGCTGTTGGTTGTTGTTGTTGTTGCTGTTGCTGTTGCTGCTGTTGCTATTGCTGTTGTTGTTAGTTGTTGGTTGTTGGTTGTTGTTCGTTGTTTGTTTTATGTTGTTGATGTCGACTGTTGGCTGTTGGTTGTTGATTATTGGTTGTTGTTTGTTGTTTGTTGCTCGTTGGTTGTTGGTTGTTGTTGTTGTTTAGCGTTTGTCGTTGGTCGTTGTTGTTTGTTGTCGTTTGTCGTTTGTTGTTTGTTGTGTGTTGTTTTTGTTTGTTGTTTGTTTTTCAGCGTCTGTTGTCTGTTGTGTGTTGCTTGTTGTCTGGTGTGTGTTTCTGTTTTCTGTTCCCTGTTCTATGCAATGTTTAGAGTTTGGCAGGGGAACGGGTGAACATGTATCATCAATCATCGTGTGTCTGACATTTTGGCTCAAGTACGATCCAAACTGGCAGACACTTCTTTTTGTTTTCCGACATTTACTGGAGTGGGATTCTGGTATGTCGGAGGCAGATGAAAAGATGGTGGTGGTCCACACTAAGGCGCGCATGCTCCACCCCGCGGCCCTGCTTGACTTCGAGGCTCACATGGCAGGACTGGTCGCCCGTGGGGATGCAGCTTTGGAGGTCGGTGGCGGTGCTGCTGCGTTACACCCCTGCTTGCTGAGGACTCCGTGCTTCGAACCCCCAATTTTGGGAATTTGCGGGAGGTACTTTGTGTGGCCATCGGTTGCGAGAGATGCGGACAGCATCGTGGACCCACAGAGCTGTCTTGGTTCAAGAAGGAGCGGGGGCTTCTGAGGCCTGGGATCGTCACTATGCGTGCCGCACGCGCCTGGAGGTGGAGCACGTACGGGCTGTTGACTCGGGCTTGCGGGTCCCACTGCTGCCTCTTGGAGGGAGCCGGCGTATGAGCCAGTGCCAGCTTGGCAAGTCGCGACGGTGTCCGTGCATGGGCCTTCGACTGCGGCGAGCGTGTGTTGCCTGATGTGGAGCCTCGCCAGGCATGTTGACGGGGAGCGCCCCATCTGCGAGGCATGCCTCAGCCATTTGGACTGTTTGCGGGATCCTTCGCGCCATGGCATTCGTTCCGTCTGGGATGTATGCTCGTATGGCGGACGCCATGCAGCGGCCAACGGGGCCCGGAGTCAGCGATAGCCGCTGTGGCTGCGCGGCACACATCCAGGCGGCGCCTTTGTCTTTTGGTCCTTCGAGGAGGCGGTCGCCGCTGGAGGCCGTGATGCATGGGCGGCGGTCCGGAGCAAGCAGTCAGGTGAGTCGACGCCGGTTGCGGCCAACGTGGTGGAAAGGGGCGGTCGGGGACGGCCGTGCGCCTGCCTTTCAGGCCGTTGGCCCCTCGCAGGCCAGGAGAGCCAGAGTCAATTACGCTCCAGGTTCAACGGCTCAGCGCAGCGCTTCAGGGCTATATGCGACAGCTCTCTTGGTTGACGGGTTCATTTGTCTCCCATGCCTGGTTGCAAAATGACCACATTCCGGCTATTGCCCCACAGTCGCCTTGAATTGTTGCAGCTGTTGTTGTTGTTGTTGATGATGATGATGATGATGATGTTGCTGTTGCTGCTGCTGCTGCTGCTGCTGGTGGTTGGTGGTCCTGTTGCTGTTGCCGGTGTTGCAACTGCTGTTGCTGTTGCTGTTGTATTGTTGTGGCGCTGGTTGTTGCTGCTGCTTCGGGTGCTGGTGCTGGTGTTGGTGCTCCTGCTGCTGCTGCTGCTGCTGCTGCTGGGCTGCTGCTGCTGTGGCTTCTTGAATGAGTCTCATGGCTAGAGTCAGGTACAGATTGTTGAAACACTTGCATTTGAGATGCTTTACTTCTAGGCTGCAGCCCAAGCAGCTCGTTCAACTTCTTGTTCGGTAGCAGCATGGCAAAACGCATCCTAAAAAGCCCCGCGACGAAGAGGTCGCAAAACCGTGCATTTCAACCCCAAACTAGGCACGTGCGTGGGAGCTCCAAACAAGACAGTGGCTCATGTAGAACGGTTTTTTGCAGCGGAACGTTTGCTGACTCAAGCAGTCGATGCGGGGCTACAAGCTTCGCAAAATGACGTTGCGGTGGGAGAGACTTTGTGCTCTCCCCAGCACTCAATACAGCTCGCCAAACGGGCGAGGGGAAGGACCCCGCCGGCAAAAGAAGTCCATGTGGAATCTGCGCAACATGGCATAGCACATCATAGCCTTAAGATGCCTTGAGCTTTGTTCGTCATGGTCTGTATCACTCAATGTAGGCCAGCGGTGGACTGCCCCAGAAACTGTCAAGCTGTGCAGCTAGAGCTGCTGGAGATGAGCTTTTGCTCGCTCAGCGGCAGGCTCGACAGAAACTCCCTAGCGCTAGCATGAAAAGGACAACATGTTGCTCAGAGGCGACTCAGCGAAACTTCTTTGAGAGCAACAGAATCTGTGAATACCTGCGGGTTCTTCAGACGGGAGCTGTCAGCATGAGGAGGAGCGGTCAGGTTTCGATTTGCAACCAGGGACTGCAGCCCGTCCGGGACACTGCCAGTTTGCACACACACACACAGACCACCGTTTGTTTGAGTTCCAGAAAGCAACGTTGCATTTTGATGTGCTATGTGAGCCACCGTCATTCTGTAGTGTCTGGAACTTTGGCCAGCTTCAGCAGTTGCAATTCAAGCCAACACTAGGGAGATGTGTGGGAGCTGCGAACAAGACCTGAACACAGTGGCTCATGTAGAACGGTCTTTTTGCAGCGGAACGTTTGCTGACTCATGCAGTCGATGCGGGGCTACAAGCTTCGCAAAATGACGTTGCGGTGGGAGAGACTTTGTGCTCTCCCCAGCACTCAATACAGCTCGCCAAACGGGCGAGGGGAAGGACCCCGCCGGCAAAAGAAGTCCATGTGGAATCTGCGCAACATGGCATAGCACATCATAGCCTTAAGATGCCTTGAGCTTTGTTCGTCATGGTCTGTATCACTCAATGTAGGCCAGCGGTGGACTGCCCCAGAAACTGTCAAGCTGTGCAGCTAGAGCTGCTGGAGATGAGCTTTTGCTCGCTCAGCGGCAGGCTCGACAGAAACTCCCTAGCACTAGCATGAAAAGGACAACATGTTGCTCAGAGGCGACTCAGCAAAACTTCTTTGAGAGCAACAGAATCTGTGAATACCTGCGGGTTCTTCAGCCGGGAGCTGTCAGCATGAGGAGGAGCGGTCAGGTTTCGATTTGCAACCAAGGACTGCAGCCCGTCCGGGACATTGCCAGTTTGCACACACACACAGACCACGAGTGGTTCAGACCACCGTTTGTTTGAGTTCCAGAAAGCAACGTTGCATTTTGATGTGCTATGTGAGCCACCGTCATACTATAGTGTCTGGAACTTTGGCCAGCTTCAGCAGTTGCAATTCAAGCCAACACTAGGGAGATGTGTGGGAGCTGCGAACAAGACCTGAAGACAGTGGCTCATGTAGAACGGTCTTTTTGCAGCGGAACGTTTGCTGACTCATGCAGTCGATGCGGGGCTACAAGCTTCGAAAAAGTGTCATTTCGGTGGGAGAGACTTTTGTGCTCTCCGCCAGCTCGCAAAACGGGCGAGGGGAAGGACCCCGCTGGCAAAAGAAGTCCATGTGGAATCTGCGCAACATGGCATAGCACATCATAGCCTTAAGCTTTTTTCGTCATGGTCTGTATCACTCAATGTAGGCCAGCGGTGGACTGCCCCAGAAACTGTCAAGCTGTGCAGCTAGAGCCGCTGCAGATGAGCTTTCGCTCGCTCAGCAGCAGGCTCGTCAGAAACTTCTATTGACCCTCAACAGACACACACATTAGATATTATTATAATATCACATAGAACAATGAAGAGCAACAGTAGCCGTTTACAGCATGCCAAGGGAAAGCAGAGATCACCTGTGTTGATCCTAGAGGACTATCGGTTCTGGTGGGTCGTCAAAATCCGACGAGCCTAACAGATGGCTGTAAAGCCTGGCTATTGTTCTCCAAGACAGGTCGGGTGTCTTTGTTGGTCGCAGCAAAGCGCAGTGCCTGGTGTTTAGCCAGGACAAAGCACGAGCTGGAAACGAACAGCTCCGATTAGTCTATGTGTCTCGTGGTGCGTCAAACAAGTGTACACGCGGCGCTGGCGATTTTCTCAGCTGTGCATGCCAGTCTTGCAGATCTTGATTGAACTTTCAAAGCGCAACACAATCAGAGCCGGTTGGAAGTGAACCTGACTGCCGAGGTTCGAAACAAGAAGCGCTTCCATCACCAGGCTTTCTCGCCGGATTTTTTGCAACCAATGCGAACTGACTTTGAAGCAAGGCGGTCAGCTAGGCGAACTTGGGAAACGTGTTGCATCTTTAGGATTTGCAGCTTTCTGCTGCTTTGGTTGGTGCGTGTGGGCCTAGCAATCTGCCAAGACTTTGCAAAGAGTTGTCTCATGGTGCTGGTCTTTGGACATGACGTATGGGGCAGGCTGATTGGCTGAAATGTGCTGCTTACCGGTCAATCGCCCACTGTATGACCCAGCCCCACTCTAGGCTGGAATATCTCTCCGATTGGTCTGCAGAGCCCCAAGCATGGCAAAGCATCTTTCACTAACACCAGGACAATGTCATTTCTCATTCGTTTTTCCCTTTGTGAACTCCGTCCCTCCAAATATATGGAATAACGATGCCAGGGATCGTCAAACCTCTGCCTAACTGATTCAGCATATTCAGCCAAAGTTGCACACGTCTCAACTTGGCGCTCGGACGCAACTGCTTCAGCTCGGGGTCGGCCAGGCGCTGGTTGAGGTGAAGATCTTGGAACATCTCCGAGAGAGAGACCTCGAGAGCACCTCCAACGCTCTCCCGGCATGGGCGCGACTTTGCATTACATGAGGCCTTAGCAGCTTCATTGCTTCATGCCAGGTTGTGCACATGATGGATTACTTCTATTTCAGGACTCCAGCCAGTCAGCTTCTCTCTCTCAGGGAGCTGAACGCGTCGGAACAAGTCATTGGGTATTCTGTGCAGGAACCACTTGTGCATTACCTTTGAGCTGCTGAGCATCAACCTCTATGAGTTCATCAAGAATCTCGGCACTTGTGGCCTTGTGGTTTGCAGGAAGGCCCCGCATGACTCGATCTCAGGAATAATAACTTCCAGGGTGTCGCAACCTCGGTCAATGGAGCGAATCGGCGCGCCGGCGCGCCTCTCCAAGGTCTCTTTGGGCCTCATCCGGCGCTTTGCCATTCAGCTGCTGGCGGTGCCTCGGCATTGGTGGGAGAGGGGATGTTTTTTGGGATCCAGTTGATCTGATTTCTTGTTTTGCCGACGTGGAAGAGCCTTTATGTCGGTTTTTTCGTCAGCCCAAAGTGATTCAGGTCAGTCAGCTTGATCGCGCGAACTGCGCGACCAGGCTCTGCGCTTCTTGCGGAAGCAGCACATCATTCACTGTGACCTCAAGCCCGTCACAGACTCGGGGATGTGATTGCTCCAAACCTGGGCCAGAGAGCTCAGGAGAATATCCTGCTGAAGAATCCCACGAAGAGTGGAATCAAGGCGGGGGTCCTGGCCGGGCCAGGGGTCATGGTTCAGCGCATCGCGTTGACTCACTGGACAACTGTGAGCGTAGTCACACAGTCTGACAGGTCATCGACTTTGGCTCATCTTGCTTCGAGGATGAGCGGGTCTATACGTGCTCAACATATTTGCTTTAGGAAAGCGTTGCGCAACGTACAGCCTTTGAAATGGTTGCATGATGGCACATGTTATAGCTTCAATATGCCCGTGCTGCCGAGTTGCAGCTAAATTTCCCACGCTGCGCACTCGAGAGGTACATTCAGAGCCGCTTTTATCGGTCTCCGGAGGTGATTCTGGGAATTCCGACACTTGGACTGGAACCGTATGGGTGGACCCGGGCGAGTTAGTGAAGTCCTTGCTTCGGTGTGTCTATGAGGTATGACATGGCCATTGACATGTGGTCGTTTGGATGCATCCTGGCAGAGCCCCTGCCTTATGGCGCCGCCTAGCAGCCCAGCAGCTTATGTCGGATATGTTCTCTTAGGCTCTACACGGGCTATCCACTCTTCCCAGGCGAGAACGAGGTGGGGGGTCATTACGGTATGTGAGTCTTGCCTCCTGGCCGGCACCTCCCATGCCCAGGTGGAGCAGCTCGCCTGCATCATGGAGATCTTTGGCGCAACGGCCTCAGCATGCGCGGCCGCCCGCGAGGCTGTGCTCAGTCCGAATTGAACTCAATTGCATCAGATCGTCTCACGATGTCTTGCATGACGTGCTTCATAATTAGACTTGTAGCGGCACGTCCTGATGCATTGGTCCCGTGAGGGCCAGCAGCTGCATTTTTGCCACAGGTGCCTCCTACCAAGATCCTTGACGGAGCTTCCAGGATCAAGATGCATCACGCCTAGACCGAGAGCCCTCTTGGCCGGCTTCTCCCGAACCTGGCTCATTTGGGAGCGGCACGCACATTGTTTTTGAGGCAGCCGGGAAGCTTACCGTATTGGGGCAGAGCCGAATTATGTACAAAGTTGCAGGCTGGATTGCAAATGTTGTCTCAGAAACTAGATTCATTTTCTCCCCACTGGACTTTAAGGTGCAGTTCTATGCTTGGCATGGCTCGTGTGGCTTTGAAGTATCTCTGGCGCTCTCAATCGGAGAAGGGCCTGCATCCCAGCTGTTTGGCTCAACGTGCGCTGCTCCGAGAATGCGCATCACAGATGTCACAGACACGCACGCACACGGACTCCTTGGGTCTCATTCAGAGTTGGCCCATTGTGACACACCCGGCACGGCGAAACCTTTTCGGGAGCAGTCGACTCGTAAATGCCTCATGGATGACGAGGTCACAACCTTGCCCGGGTACTGGCAGTCCTTGCTGCAAGGTGGCCAGGTGTTCACCGCGCTGCTGCTCAGCACCAGCTACTCTGAGCTCCTTGACGTCCCGCGCGCCAACGCGTTTCTTGTTGGGTTTCAAAACGGCAAATCTCGCGAGCCAAATTGAAACACCTGCAGGCTATCGCTGGCTATCAAGTCGAATCCATCGATTTGACAAGTGTCCCTCGCTCCCAGGAAGTACCGGGGCCGGCACCTGCAGCCGCTGGGCTCGGCATTGCGGGCCCGGCAGTCTTCGGAGTCCCATGCTGATCTCCAGATCCCCAGCAGGACTCGCGGTCCGGGCAACCGGCCGGCGCGGTTCGGCATGGGGCATTGAGACATTTGTTGGTATAAGCCTATCGTGGGTTCGGCATGGGGCATTGAGACATTTGCGCGGTTCGGCATGAGACATTTGTTGGTATAAGCCTATCGTGGGCTTCAGATTGGCTTGACAGGTGAACTTCCTGCAAGTGTCCTCCCAGGATCTTTTGGACATTCATTGGAATTGTGTGGTATCTGGCTCAGGGTCCCGGGAGTTGAGTGAGAGAGAAGCTTGGACTTTCATTGGACAAGCATTGGAAAAGGCATTTGTTGCAATCTAGCTGGAATGTGTCCGGGAGTGATCATTGCCCATGACAAAGGAGTTGTGGAGGCATTTTGGGGGAAGCTAGCAGGATGTCTGACTACAGGAGAATCAATGGAATGTTGCTGGGTCACACGTGTTGAAGCGGCCTTTTTTGAAAATCGCCATGGTGGGTTTTATGATGGAAGGCAATGCTGGGTTTGCTTGGGCCCAAGTGAGTCTATGCTTGACCTGCCGTTTGCAGGAATGGGGATCGAACCTGGCAGCCAGCTTTGCTGCACCGCTCAGGAAACAGAGTCTCGGCGAACAGGCAGATGGCACACGGATCAAAATTTGGGTTGTGAGTGGGGAGTAAAGGAGAGTGAGGAAGAATACCTTTCTGACATTGCAGTGTCGGAGTCGTAGCGCAGCCCCGGGTTCCAGCAACGCGGTGACAGCAGTAGCCGGCAGACCAATACAGGCTGCAGCAGATGGGCAAAAGGAGTGCCATTCTGAATCTAAGGAGAAGCAGTCGCTTTCATTTGGCTTGGCGATGAGCTCTTGGGCGATCGTGCCCCTGCTCAGTTTGGATTGTTTCAGTCCGTTTGCTGGCCGCACCCCTGGCACGTGGCAGATGCCGAGCTTTGTACACCACTGGCTTGCACACATCAGTCACTCAGTCCCTTGGCGTCCCCTGCATGGAAGAGTTACTCGGGCGTGACTGAGGCACTATATACGTGTGCTTCTCGCCATTACGCTACAGATCTCAGTTTCTGAGCCTTGTGCGCATTCATTAGTTGATTACACTGCCTCCGCCGCGAAAGGTTACAACTTAAAGAACCTTTTGAAGAAGGCCTTCTAGGTTCTAACAACCTTTCCTGGGTGGGCGTTGATATCCTCCCTACAGTAACATCAAAGCCTTTGACACGCAGTTTAAGCACGTATCATATCCTTGCTGGCCATGCTGCAAGGCTATATGTGAGAATTCACTCGGCGACAGGAAGATTTGCTGCGCGGGCTTGGCGGAGAACGGGATGAACGTGCGCCGGGCAGCGCAGCAAACCGCAGACCTCTCTGTTGGCACGTGGCCTGGCAATTGAAGGCAATGGCATTGTCCCTTTGCAAGCTTTCATGAAATGATAGATATTTTCCGAGTTTCAGAGCTGGCCGCGACGAATGTTGTGCGTACCGTGCTTCTTTGATTAAGTCATGCGGTGTGTTCCACTTCTCAAGTCAGTTAGTTGCACGCCAGACCCACTTCAATACCCGCTGCCACGTGCCCCAAGGATGATGTTGCCAGTGTCGACCTATTTGAAAGTCAAACTGGCCGCTCGGTCAAAAGCATTGAATCAGCAACACAACTGTTTGGTGTGGAATCACCCAGGCATGTGTTTGCACGGCATTGCTGAGGACAGACTCTGGGATCCAGCAGGCGAGCAGAAGCTTTACGACAAGCTGCTAGCGAGCGCAGCTTGGCCAGGTTTGGCTTGCCGGAGTTGGACGCTTTTTGTGCGAGTAGACGCTTTTGGGAGAGACCCTGTGGCTTGCAAGTGGTTCAGGTCAGAGAGTCTCCCAGCCACAGGGTGCGCCTCGACTGCAAAGAAGTTCGGATTGCCAGCATCACACGAATCTCCAGTATCTGCAGCTTCGTAGTCAATGTGGGAAGCCAAACTGGAGAACCCAAGTGGTCTGCTCTGATTTGCAGATAACACTGCCAGCATGCAGGCATTTGGGATTGTGCCAGCCAAAAGAAGCTAGTTGCTCATGTTGAGCATGAAGCACGATTGATCCAGTTTGATTGTTTAGCACGCCTGTCCAAACCATACAGGCAGCGCATCCATATGCGACAATGCAACAGAATAGCTGTTGTTCAGGCGAATCGCCATCGCAAGCTCAGGATCTTTTCCGGAATTTCACATGGTGCTGCACTGGCTCAAGCTGCAGCGCTGAAGTTTCAGATGCAGCACGAGGAGGGAGCCAACACGATGCTGTAACGAACGCACACGCTGCGCATCAGGTCCCTTGCACCTTCTTGTTGGCTCTGCAGCATCCTGATCTATGAGGTAGTGTTTTTGCAGCACCAGATTTGCCTTTGGCTTGACTTTGCTTGGGGTGTTTTCCTACTCTTTGTAGCTCGGGCTCTGTTCTAGAGAATGTTTCTGCGCGTGTCCCACTGGTGGATGCTGCAACCCACTCACCTATAGGCGTTCTTTCAAACTCCTTTGGACCTTGTATAGCCCGTGAAGTACGACTAGCAAAGCCATGAAGGATCAAATGATATTATGATAGAGACATTGAAACTTCTTGCACGATAAGCTGATTCAGTGGAAAGTGAGCCGAAGATTCCACACTCTCGATTTGACTTTAGGAGACAGCGGTCTATGTGGTGACCTGGAACGCCTACAGGCGCTGCGCTTGGCCCTTCCAATCATTATTGCTGGCGTTTTTTGGGGTTCAACCGTTCATTTCTTCGTAGGGGCCAAGAGACATCAAGATTCGGGTGTGCAGCGGTGTGGCTTGCTGGATGGCCCCTTTGGAGATCCAACTTTTTGCCATATGAGGCTGCCATAGTAGGCTGCCACAATATTATATATATATATATATCTGGCGGATTGTACTGGCGGATTGTAGACAGCCCCGCGCAGGTGGACAGATTCCAAAGGAAGAGAGGCGGCTGAGCGCTACCTGCAGGAACGCCCCTCGACAGAAATCCTGGGTATTTGTGACATCCGAAATCCCTTACTTCTGTCGCTACAACGTCGCTACAAAGTGCAGAACACCGCTATTTGCCTTTCGCGAGGCATGCTTCACTTCGTCCTCTCCAGAAGAGAGACGGCGCAGGCAGACAGTGGAGGGTTTTTTGTCAGAAGTCTCAGCTGGAGATGATGTGAGCTGCTTCCAGGGTGTTTGTAGCTGGAGAGTCTTTACTGTGGTAGCGCATGTTAACGCATATTAATGAGATTGTGTCGCCCTAAACGGTCAGTCTCATAGCTTTGAGCAAGTCTTAGACGGATATGATTCTCAGGCTTTTGTCTATCACAGGAAGAGGGCATTACGCTGGCATTGGACCTCACAAGCGCGTGTGGTGAGGCCAACCGCTACTGGGACAGCGTGACGGAGTTCCCACAAGACTTGTCGCCTATGCCCAACCCGGTACTGCTCGATGCCGACACAGGAGAGATGCCTTCTTTTGGACGTGCCCTCGTTTGGGAGTACCTTTGTTTCTTGCTTGCGTTTTCCGGAAAGTAAAAGCACGTGGCGCCCTAAATTGAGACATTCCCACCACCAGATGCCAGGATGAGAAAGGGGAGTTTGCAATGCATGTGGCCAAAGGTTGAGGTTTTGCGCGAGGCCAGTTCTACAAGCACCATGATCCAGAGCGTGGCTCGCAAATGGGCGCTGCCTTCCTGATGCGCGCGCCACTTGTTTTGGCATGGTGACGCGACGCATGGCATGGCGACGGGGCGACGGGGCGACGGGGCGACGGGGCGACGGGGCGACGGGGCGACGGGGCGACGGGGCGACGGGGAGGCGGTGCGGCCGAGGTTCGAGCTGCACTTCGCGAGGTCGGCGCTGCGGGCCACAAAGAAGGCCACGGCCCAGGCCTTGGGCGCCATCCCCGTGGAGGAGGCCGAAACCTCAGAGGTGTCGCCTTGTCGGACTTCCCTCATGGAACCGATAGCTGAACTATTAAAAGACGCCTTGTGCTTTTGGGACTATCCCATGTTCGCCGTCATCTTGCTTCAAGGGCAACCACAGTCAACCACCTGGTCATGCATTGATCATGGCTGCACACCTAGGAGTATTTGCTCAACAGGCGGTTCGTGGCTTAGAGATGACGAGTCGGATCAGCCGCTTGAATTCAGAGGCTCTCAGCTAAGGATGGAAGTTTTTCAGGATCGCTTATTCGAAAAAGCCGAGAAGGCCGGGACATGGACTGAGGGTTTTTGGTCGGTCGTGTTAACCTGTGCTGTTGGCACTGGTGTCACTCAGGTGGCCAAAGTGTCACACAACGCGACGCAGATCCTGCGCAAGCGACACAGTGCTACTTGGCAGTGCGTCTGCCCAAGGGCCAAGGGCAGCCCTCACCCACTTCGAAATGCCCTCGGGCCGGGAAGCCGCATCAAGAAAGACTTGGCACATGCAATGTAGCTGTGTTTTTGCGAGGCTTGAAGGTTTCCTAGTTGCACTGTGTGGGACAGGGCAGAGGGCCGAATCAACATGCTGGAAATACAATACCCTTCGCAAAGCAACTTTCCTCACCCTTCACGAGTGACAGCCTAACAGCCCCCGAACAGGCACGTGTTTCGATTGTCCGGCCAAGGAGTCCTCCTGGTCCTACGGAACGGCTAGGTCCAGGTGGGCATCCGCGCGTGTCGAAAGGGCGCAGGTCGCCGGTTCCGGTCGGTTCCGGTCAGTTCCGGTCAGTTCCCGTGTGGCCTTGGGAGAGTCCAGGCGCACTATGCCGGATGGCTGGGCCGAGGCATGGGCGGAGTCCGGACTGGCTTTGTTCACACTGTGTTCTTTTGGGTCCGATCAGGATCAGTTGAAGGCGCCGGAGCGTTTGGCTGTTCCAAATGGATGCCCAGCTGCAGGTTGTCCTTTCTGTTCAGTTCAAAACGCTTGCAGACTCCTGGAATTTGTGCTTGCCAAGGAAGGAGTAAAGCCCACGCCTCAGCTTGCGCGAGCCGCATGTTTGCATTTGCTTGGAGCTGAGGCCAGATGTTTCTCGTGGCTTGCCTGGTGCTGCTAGACCTGAGAGCTGAGCACTCGCGAAGCCTGGCCCCTCGTGGCTTGTGGCTTGGGGCAAAGCTCGCTTGGGAAGGTTTCGCGGCGCTCGTCGTGCTGACGGAAACACCTCGCGCGCAAAAAGACTGGGCCCACACAATTGAGTTTTTGTGTATCATGTCAGAGCAAGACTTCAACGAAAGAGTGGCGCGTACTGGATGTTGCCTGTTGCCTGAGGTTCTTCGATGCACATGGCAATCCTCGGCTGGTGCCCAACAGCCGGGGCAAGATCCGCAAACCTGGCGCCAAGGAGCCCGTTTTTGCCCCAGGAATCGGGTCGGTCGTCTTACCAGTGTCAGGGCTTTTTAGGCATCTGCTCGGTGACCTTTCGACTCACACAGCCGCAGCGCGCGCTGGCTGAAGTGCGCGCAGGAATTGCAATCGGTTCTCCGGACCTCTGAGGGGAAGTGCACCCGTCCTGTGAGTGATCGCTTTCATGGAGCGAGACGCTCCGAGAAATGGTTCGAATGCTGCCAGGTTCGTGGATTTCCTCCTGGGCTGCCTGCGTGACTCTCAGGTGTAATTAAGCCACATCTATACAAACTGTTTGCAGCTGCTTTTGAATACGGCCACGGAGTCTCAGACTCTTTCTTTTGTTTAGCCCCACCCCAAACCCTTCTCGGATTTCTTGCAGCTGGACTCAGGCAGTGGGAGGCACCCCAGCGATTCAGTCCAGAAGATGCACTGCAGCAGGCGAGGGAGTGCAGTTTAGGGGATGTTCGCGAACGCCGGGTCCAGGCCCAGGGTGATTCGCATCGGCCGATTTCATTGCCTGAGGAGTGGATTTTGGAGTGCTATGCAAAGCCAATGTCTCAGCTGTGGGCAACACCGGGTTAGCTTGAAAAGGTTGTGCCGACAACAAGATACTGTGGATGGACGAAATCCTGCACCACTTTGAAACCATGAGAAACCATTGTTTGTTGGTATTTGCAGGGGAATCATCATTCCAGGGTTTCTTGGGTGGTGCAGGATTTCGTCCATCCATAGTAGGTGCAGATTCTGTTCGACATGAGAAGTGGCTGGCCTTGAGGCATGCCCGCGATGCGGCACCTGGCAGGATGCACCTTGGATGCAGACACCGTTCTGTTGGCCGCGCCACGTTCGTGAGAGAGATGACATGTGTGATGTGAGGGCAAATTGAAGAGAAATCGGCGTTTCCATCCAATGAAAGTATTTGAAGAGCATCGATTAAGAATTTAAGAAGTTGCTGGTGCGCCGCCCAAAGCATACGCACTTGAGTGAGCCTAATTAGCGCACTTGCCAGCTTGGGCATTTGCGGTATGGCAAGCATCAGATGAGGAGAGCTGCATCTACCAACCCATTGTCAAGATTGGCGCCACTTTGCAAGTGCCAACATCAGGGAACGAGTAAGTCATGGCACTGTGCCAAAGAGCTGTATGCTTACTTTTGTGCCGGAGTTGCGCCATCCGACTGACCTCGATAGTTCTAGATCATGCTTACTACAAGCTTTGCACCCCCACTCTACAGTTTGCCTCTTCGGGAGGGGTTATGATGTTGTTTGGGCGGAAGTTCTGTTGGATCCTGTTTGCGTGTTGCCAGGCGGGGCATAGCAGCGCTTGCTCTTACAACTGTCGATCACACGCTTGTTTGGCTCTTCCAAGTTGAGCTTGCCGGGTCTTCAAAGTAAGCTCTCCAGATATGCAGTGCTGTACTCTTACTGTTTATTGCCTGGTGGTGTAGTCAGTTGGAATCCAACGCGCTTGCCGGCGCAAAGCTGGTTTGCGCGAACAAATCCAGGCGTGTTGAAGTGCTGTGTTGCGTACAGGCCGGACGCACCTGCCTCCTCGAGGCATCGATTTTTGTCCACGGTTGGAGAGTTTCTTTGCCAGAAGTGGACAAATCCGCATGGGCGTGGCATGCAAGAGTCATTCGAGCTGAGAGCAAAGACATGAAATCAGCTTCTGTTGCTGGGGCAGTTGCCAAGTCAAACAATGCTTGTTGGCGAAAGCGGCAAATTATAGAGCTGGCAAACACAAGGGATGTGGTGACGTGGTTTTGCAGCTTCCGCAGTCCATGGGATGCCAGGACTCGCGGAGGCGCTGCAGCCGACAGCCATCGGAGCCACTCGGTCCGGAGCATCCCGAGTTGAGTGCCATGCTTCACAGGTGGCACAGGCAAGGTCGTTAGCCCACGGGCGAGCAATGGTATTGCTTGGATTCTGTGAGCATTGGCCTTTTTTATTTCTTGGGGAGTGTTGAGAGGAAGGGGTGCCAAGGGTTCAATTGCGCCCGCTACGAGCTTCTCCCAAGGTCGCCGCGGCGTGCAGCAGATGTCATCCACAGGCGTCGTGCGGTCAACGGGTGCAGCTTCCAAAAGCAGGTTGTCCTAAGTCCTTGTGGCCCATTCTGTCAGGCGGCTTCGGCAGCACCGGAGGCCAGAAGATCGAGTCAGGGAGTAATTCGGTGAAGGCGTTGAGCGCAAACAGCTGGATTTCTCCAGGTTTCGGTGCCACCACCGGTGGCTCAGGCACTGGGGACAGCGCATGTCTTTACTGCATTCGGGTTGCTAGGTGACATTCTTGGCAGTTGTCGCATGTTGTCGCAAAATTGAAACGTGCATTGTAGAGACAACAGCATGGCTATGTTTGATTGGTGTGTTTGAGTGCCAGTGGATAGAAATCGACAATTCGCAAGGCACCAACCTCACTTTTCCGCCCATCGAGGGCTCAGGCAAAGTTCCCAGTTTCTGCGTGGCAACTGAGTCTGGAATGCAGATGGTATGAAGAGTCCAACGCGTTTGCCCAGGTGGACTGCTGCCGAAGAAGAGAACGGCGCACAAGGCTCTTTGCAGCCTGGTGTTTCTGCCTGTGTGTTTCTTTACCCGCGACTCGTGCCACCAGGCACCCGAGCAAGGCGTCGGCGTCCAGAGTTGCTTGGGTGCAGGGAGGCGTTTGCCAACTATTCACCGTGGCCACCAATGGAGATGTGTCAACTCACACATGTCCGAGAAAGTGCTGCCTGTTCCATGACGCGAATGTGTGCAGGATCTACAGGGGTTGGATCTGGCTCCACTGGCCCGGGGACGCAGTTGAAATGCTTGAGTTTGTGCGAAAGGTTTGAATAAACCAGCGGCATGTTAGCCGACGGCGGAACGTGAAGGTGTCAAGATCACCCCCCCACCCACCGCCGGGGGTGGGGGGGGAAGATTCGCCACAAGCTGCTCTACGAGAATAGCCCCCTGCAAACAAGCCGTGCCACAGCGAGGCGATTTCCGGCAAGCACCTCCCCGCATTTTTAGAACAGGTCAAGAACAGGAGCCCTCGCACACATGCCCTAATCGGCGACAATCCCTGACAGGCGAGGCTGCCGCGCTGCGCCGACCTTTCAAACATGCGGCGAGCGTATCATGATCATGAGAGTGGTGGGAAGAAAAATGGAGGGTCTTTGCTGTTCAACGCCCGATACTCGGCTTCTCGATTTTCGCCCTGACGTGACTCCCTCTGCATGGGTACCGGCTCCCCCGAGGGGAGTAGGGGGATCTCCCAGAGGGAAATCCAGCCACTTGCAAGAGCCAACGCCAGGCGCAAATCAAGAAAGACGAGCAGTGGTTGGTGTGGAATAGTCGGGCCGATGCTGCAATGCTAGCAGGCACAACAACTTAAGAAACGCGGGAAGAGCAACGTTACTCTACAAGAGGAAAGAAGCTTGCGTACATACAAGCACGCACACACACACACACAGCACGAGTTAATCCTTCTCACATCCTTTTAGCCGCACTCACGGAATGGATGATGATGAGGGTGGTGGGAAGCAAGCAACGCTCCCTCGAGGGATGTAGGGGAATCTTTCACAGGGAAGAACTCAACTTGCTTCCCACCAGCCTCATTTCTTGTTATTTTGCCCGGGGTTGCAAAAGGGGATTCATTAGCGCGCTGCAAGTGTGCACATACATTGCTATTCCTGCGCTGTTTGTGTGTGTGTGTTTGCTGGCATCGGGGCTTGGGCAAGCTCGTGCACATACATAGCCTTCGAGAGGCCAAAACTGTCGACCCCCCGGAGAAAATCCCCGTCACTCATTCACTTGAATTGTGGCACCCCAATTTGTTGAGGTCGATCCCTGTCGTGTTTCCCCGGCCCCCCCCGAGCATTTTCCGGGCCCTGCTCCCGGGCAATGTCCGTTGGACCCCGGGATTGGGCGGGCCGGTTCGGGTGCTGCGGTGATGCCGGACAACTGAGCTGGGCAACAGGATCGCTAACGACACTCGAAATCACGCGAACATGGCAGAGATGGAATTGCCTGAGCAAAAAACATGGCAGAGAACAGGGTAACTGGGCAGAGACGGGATTGGGCAAGACAAGAGGAAGAAAGACCGAAGCAAGACACTGGGCAGACACAGGGTCAGCAAAAAGAAGGGAGCGAAGAAAGAAACTGGGCCACGCGGCAGACACAGGATACGTGAAGATTTGAAAAAGGAAGCAGAGCAGCCGGGCACATTCGGGATGCGCGAAGTGAGTTGGAGCAAAGAATGAGCCAGAACAACTCGGGAGAAACGAAGTCAGAAAAAACAAACAGGAGAAAACGAAGAGGACAGCACTTCACGCCGGAAAAGAAGAAAGGAGCAATGACAGCAACAGGACTACTGGAAGACGCTGGACAGGAAAGGAAGGGGAGGACGAAGACAAATAACTGTCAACGGGCCAGACTTGGTCGAAGCGGCAAGGAGTAAGGAAGACAGAAACGTGACAGCCGGGCAGACACAGGATGGAAAAAGAGATCCGACACGAACTAAGTCATGTAGACGGATGACACGAATAGACAACGGACAGATACGTGATCGGAAGAGAAAAAAAGAGAAGCGAGGACAGAAGCAGGACAGCTGGGCAGACACGGGATCGGCAACCAAAGGAGTGATGGAGAAAGAAACTGGTTGGCTGAGCAGACTGCACATCAAGAGAAAGTAGTGAAGACAGAAACAGAACAGCTGGACACAGACAGCGAGTTGGAACGCAGGGCAGACACGGGGTCACAAAAGACAGGAAAGAGTGAAGAAAGCAGGACAGCTGGACAGGCAGTGTCGGACTCGAATGAACCCACAACGACAAGTCGCAGAACAACTGGGCAGATGTTGGATTGGAAAGGAGCGGGCGGGGGCAAAACACAAATTTGACAACGGGCCAGACATTTTTATTTACTTTTATCCCTTCCCCTACTGAAAGAATACGCCCCCCCCCTCCACCCTAAGATCTATATTGTTAATATATTATATATATATATATGTATATATATATTACATACATATGTTTATGATATTTAGTAGTAGGGCATATGTGTGCCTCAAGCGGCTGCGCTACGGTCCTTGTCCAACATTGCAATTTTCGAGTAAGGAATTTAAGCAGCAGAAGTATAATTATGTTTCGGGTTTTGTGCTGGTGTCGGTTTGGTTTTTGACATTTGTTGTATTGATCCAGAACTGTATTTGCTGGCTTCAAACGGGCTTAGTCTTGGCTGATTTTATTGAATATTTGGTATTGGGAGATATGGGGTCTTGCAAGAATAAGTACATATTATATAATAGGATGCACCTATGAATACGGGGCAAAGATTAGTAGATCGACGCAAGGTAGAACGAAGACAGAAACAGGACAGCCGGGCAGACACGGGATCGCTAAAGAAGAACAACATGCAGTAAGAAACGCGATCCCGGCGGAGAGATGGAATTGCCACAAAAAGGGCACGTCCCAGCTAGGCCTGGAGGAGTCTGAGCTGTTTGCAAGTTCTACGCGATCCCCATCCCAAGTTGTTCTTTGACAAGAAGCGGGCGGCGGATCGGCGTTTTGTATGGAAGCCTCACAGCCCAGGATTCTCAGTCAATTCCTTAGGTCATAGTTGATGGGTATGAACCATGGTTGGGTCATCTTTGCTGTAGACCGTGCGTCCGACACTTGTTCAGAGTGTTTTTTCCTGTACATATGTATACATATATATATATATATATCAGTGCAATCCACATGCGCTGCGTGATCCTGTGGCGATCACGAGTGCAGAGGGAATTCTCCAAAGGCCACGATGAGCTCAGCAAGCTTCAGGCTTAACTTAGGGCACGCAAGCCGCTCCCAGGTCTGATGGCGTCAGGCCTAGGCCCGGATCCCAGCACCTCGAGAGTTGCTGCGCCAAGCCTAACCTCACGTCATTTCTGAGAAGTCGCTTTGGGCTAATGAAAGGAGGTCACGATGCGTGGCCTGAATTGGGTGACTGGAAGAGACCTGTCATTGTAGGCGCATCAGGTTGGATGGTTTGGGCCCAATCTCCCCGAGTTTCGGTCAGCGAAGGCTCACTGAGCCAAAGCCTTGCCGCAAACGCGCAGCCCGGTTGCTCAGATAGGGGCATCAGGGCATGGGATGAAGTAACAAGCTTCTGGAAGTGAAGAGCGGCCCTCTGCCGGAAGGACAGTGTTCAACATCTTCAAGCGAAACAGCTCGCTGGTCTTTGTTTGCAAATGTTCCGCCTGGGCTTGCCAAACCAGGTCGCAACCCGCAGCACCTTTTAGGGGGCTGGCCAGCGGGAATCAAGCAATGTGCCCTTGCTCGCGGTCGAAATCGGTTTCATCAACTTGTTCTTGGGGCAAGTAGCTTGGGGCTCTGCGCTACAACAAGTGCATGCGCTGCAGACGACGCGAGAAGGCCCAAACAGCAAGATCGTTCCCCAATGTTTTCGCAAATCATGCTTTGTCTCCCTGCAACGTGCAATTGACTGGAAGCAAACTGCACGTTGTGATGTCTCTGAGTTTGCAGCACACCGTTTCCGCAGCAAAGTCGGGCACGCGCATGTGTCTTGCCTCTGAGCGTTTCTGGGTTGCATGTTTGTAGCAAGGCCGAACGAAGCCAACGGCTTTGAGTTCTGATGTGCAGCTCAGTTCAAGGCGACGGACGCTAGAACGGAGATAGAAACGCCAGATGCGAGACCTTTGTTAAGATGACGTCCCATCCGCTGCCAGGCTGCCTCCTCGCAAATGCCTGAGGCATGCACCGGAGGCGCCTTCTTAGCCTGGAAAGGGAACTTGGTGGCAGTTGGCCACACCTTGAGAACACTTCGGCCAAGTGGCAAGTGGCTGTTCCGTACCAACTGCCACACCGGCAGGGCACAAGCTGTGACAGCTTTAGCCGAACGCCGAATTGCAGCATTTTAGAGGCAGGCGCCAACACGGGCCTGTTGCCATTGCCTGCGCAAGACTAGCACTGGCCTGGGATCCGGGAGAATCAGAAGTGAATCAGAGGCTTCGATTTTTGTGCTGTGTCTCTCTTACGAGCCACGAGTCAAAGTCCACGCAGAATTCTCGATCATTAGCCCCAGGTCCAGCGATGGTGTAGACAAGGTAGGACTAGGGACCTCAGAGTGAATCGTCTCACGATGCAATGCAAAAAGCGTTGCCTGTAGGGTCAATGATGTTTGAGCCATGGGGTGCGCCGGAAAAGAATGGGTGCCACAAGGAGTGTTCATGCATGTGTTCGAAGGCCGCCTTTTGTACTGAGCATTTGCCTGCTGAAAGTGCGAATTGAGGAATGTGTGCGTGTGCAGCGGCAGCCACTCTTTGCTTTTGTCTCAAAGCCACAGAAATTGCAGAACAAGCCTGTCAGGCGGATTCCTTTGCCAGGCTTGTCCTGGGTGTAAGTCCCAGTGCGTCATGTCATGGATGTAAAGCTGCCACGTACCCACGGTTCTTTGTCAAGCAATGTCAAGCACCAAAAATGGATAGATCTTTGACCCTCGACTTTTGGTTCTACTTTCCTTTGAGCATCCCACTAGGCCCAGGCCTTGGGCAGATCCAGTCATGAGTTGCGAAAAATCCGCCATGGAGTTCCAGCCGCTGGCCGTTTGGCAGCCGAGGCGATCGTTTCTTCAGCGACACCTTGACATGTTATCGGAGGTTTGCGCCAGTTCAAACGATCTTCACTCCATTTTGCAACAGGATCAACGGATGAAGTTTGATGAGCTGGCTGGATTGGTTGGATTTATTGGCACCGTTGGATCGAGTCTATGACCTCTCTCGTGCAGGCCCTCGGCTAGGCCGCGGCCTTCTGCGCAAATGGAGAGGCCACGTGGCATGCGCAGAAGGCTTTCCAAAAGTAGCTGTGGGGATTTGTGGGGTGTTGAAGACTCTTCACCGACAGCTAACCGCGAAGTCCCATTGTTGGCTTTGAGTGAAAGCCACGTGACCACGCTGTTCGCGTCGATGTGTGCATGCTTCTAGCCTGCCGCGCATGGGGGGGCAGAGTGATCTCAAAAGCCCAAAGTATCGTCAAAGAATGGGGGTGGGCTATGTTGAGTCACACAGCCCCCCACGCCAGGGCCACACACCGGGCGCCGGGAGTGCCCACAGCACCTGCCATCGCTGGCTGTTTCCTGGTGCTTGGGCGCACAAGGCGTGTGAAGGCCCGGACCGCATGGTTGGCTGCATGGGACCAACTGAACAGAGCAGCCATGTCCAGCTCGCTCGCTTGAAAAGAGTCGAGCGTCCTCTGGTGGTTCTATGTCAGTGTGTGGGTCTGTGTCAGTGTAGCCTGGATTGCTAGCGTGTGGAGAATGTGTATTCTTGAACAGCTGCGAATGCCAGGGCGCCGATCTTAGCCCGTCGCTCAGTCACCGATGTTGATAGGACAGGCCAAGTCGTAATGAAATGGGGGGAGATGATCAGGACACATCACTGCGTCAAGATGTGTAAAGCAAAGATGCCCTAGTCTGATTCAGCAACTGACTGTTCGACAAGTTGCCGCTCACACAAAGCCTGCTTTGACGTGCGACGGATTTAGAGGGAGAGAGAGAGAGAGGGCTGAGGCCGGGCTGAGGGAATGGGAGGGACGGAGTGGAGAAAGAGGGAGTGAGCGAGCGAGGGAGGGAGGGAGGGAGGGAGGGAGTTAGTGAGGGTGAGTGAACACAGTTGCCCAAGCACTTCCTTCAACGCGCAAGCAGCGACACCCTGCTTTCGACATGCGAGGTTTGGAATACATGAACATGTAGCTAACCAACTTCGATGCAACCGTGCAGCTAGCTGCTTTGTGCCACATGTTGGTCCATCCTTGCAGCATGGAGTCAAAAGATGGCCTTCACCCAAGCACTCCCACACGTCATTTCCCCCCGGCAAAAGAACCGCCTTCCGACTCGAGGCCGTCGCTGTAAGACCGATCGCCGGGACAAAGAGCGCCGGGGCCGCCGCGGGGAGGACGCCAGAGAGCCCAGCCGATCGGATGGGACGTGCGTTGGAGGTTGCGAGGGACCGGTTTCTTATCTCAAGGGCTCCAGGGAGGGTTCTTGTTGGAGAGGATGTGTGCGCACCTGATGCGATATCCCTTCAGCGCATGGGGCTGCTGTCGGGATGACGTTGCTTGGCTGAGGTGATTATCGCTGCCCGCGAGCGTGGCCTTCGCTCCTTGGAGGTGGGCTTCAAATGGCATTCCAAATGGCAATCCCCACCAGTGCCCGATAGATTATTGACTTGACACTGGGAGTCCAAAGTGTCCAGACCCACCCACCGACTCACTCCAAACATCTCCAAAGCTTTGGCCTTCCCCGGCAGTTGTTCACCGGCTTGGCTGCTGGGCCGCTGGCTGCATGGGCATATCCCTGGCTGCGGGAGACCGCGGCGCAGCTGGTGACTGGCGAGGAGCTGCTGGGTTCGGATTTAGATCTTCTCGTTGCCACCGACAGGGGCGACGGAGTTCACCAAGCGCTGGAGACAGACGTCGACGTCGCATTTCAACCCCGGTCGCTCGATTCGTCGATCGGCACCCAAGGAAGCTTTGCTTTGACTTTATGGGCCTGTGCGGCTCAGTGCCGGAGGCCATGCAGGTCTTCTTCAGGAGTGGTAGCCGGTAGCTCCTCAAAATGTTGTGCGAAGAACCAAAGAAGATTGCCAATTACAATGACGTACATAACACATATATATATATATATATACATATATTATACATTATACATTTAGACACATGCAACGTTTGCGGCCCTTGAGACGGTGTGAGGCTGAGATCATGTTGTTTGTGACGAATGGCGAGACTGGATCTTGAGCCTTGTTGGACCCCATGCGAACAGGAGTTGGATTGAGATGGGCGTGTGGGCAGTCAGTTCTCTCGACGCAGGACAACTGTCGGCTTGCTCTTCAGCTTTGTCTTGGGTTACACGTCTTCCTTCCTGCTCGTTCGGCAGGCCATGCTCAGACAGTTGCCACGTGCTTGCATGTAGGCACGCTGCCTGAGGAGAAGTTTTACGAGGCCATGTACGAAGAGTCATCAATACTGACTCAGCTATTGGAGGAGGCCTGCGTTTAAGTTGTTGGGCTCAGATGTCAAAGTTAGTTCCAAGCAGGAGAGAGAGAGGGAGACAGAGCGAGAAAGGGAAAGGGAAAGAGAAGGAAAAATAAAGGGGCGATTGCAAGATTGTTTCAGTTTACCTGTGCCTGTAGGTTGATGTCCAGGTCGAATGTTTATGTTGCTCGTGGCATTTGCCAACGATTGTCCAAACATGCTTGACTGAATCTGACTGTATTTGGGAAACATTGCTTTGGTCCAAAGCCTCTCTCGCCAACAGCGAAAGAGAAAGATGGGACTGGCACCCTCTTTGGACATCCTGTTTGAGCGAACTCGAGGCACCCCTGCTGCTAGAGCGGAAGCATCTCTTGCAGCTGGTGAAGAATCTCCGGCTCTATTTGGCTTCGAGCGCCTTGCCAAACGGGAAGACCCATCGTATACCTAGGACTTGGCAAGGTGTTTGTAAACCCGATTGGGCATGACATCGGCGTTGGGTGTACTGTTGATGCACTTGCTGACGCTGGGTGTATGTGATGGTCAAGGTACATGGCGAAACCCGCAGCTTGGATGAATGAGAGGCCACAGGCACAGTTGCAATTTCCCATCCAAAGGAATGCATCGCCCAGCACCAGATGCATGGCACCTGAGGAGCTTCATACCTTCTGAGATGGTTGCCAGAAGTCTACGGTCGGATAAGGACGCACGCAGCTCTCGCAAGAGGCATGAAGCTGCACTTGACCGCAAGTGCCAACGATTCCAGCCACAACTGTTGAGGACCCCATCGAGGAGATTACCCGCCTCCTGATCAGTGTGCAGACTCCTGGCGTCTCGATTTGAACATGCAGCGGCCTGTGACACTGCTTATCGAGCGCGATGGGTGCAGCATGGTAGAGCGTAGCGCGGACATGAAGATGCAATGCAGCTTTCACTGAGCACAGGCAGCGAACGTTTGATGAACGTCGTGTCTGCACTGCGCGGCGCTCGCTCCAGGACTTCTAAGTCAGAGTTGACACTCGGTTGCGGGCTGTGAAAGACTTGATGCTGGCAGGTAGTAGGTTGGGGTGTGTACGTGCGTGCGTGCGTGCGTGCCTGCGTGCCTGCGTGCGTGGGTGGGTGGGTGGGTGGGTGGGTGGGTGGGTGTGTATATATATATATATATATGTGTGTGTGTGTGTGTGCATGAGTGTGTCAATCGCGAAGCGAGGCATGGTGCTCAGAAGCCCAGTGTACGTCTTGCCTAAGGTGTTTTGTGTCCTCTCTGGGAAATGGCTTGGGCGCAGGAAGTTCTCCTCGATGCAGCGCATCATCCCCACTGCGCAGTTCGGGTTGCTGGTGATCCTGGGGCTGCCACTTGGGCGTTTTCGGTTTTGTTCCCCAACAGCTGAAAGCTTTGGGGTCTCAGCCCAGATAGGCTCCGGGGTGGTCCGGGGCGGCCCTGAGGTAAGGTTCCACGAGGGTTCCATCAGGGTTCCACCAGCGGTGCGAGCACTAAAAAGAGCACCGCATGCTGTTGGGGATATCACCTGAGCTTATTGCTCCCGCAGCTTGCCAGGATTCGAGGCAAATCGGAGGCGAATTGAAACCAAAGCATGTGGAATTCACAGATGCGGGATGGAACTGCGCTGGACTGGCTCAGGTTGATTACGCTCTCCCCCTTTCTGGACGGCAAATCAGACACTTCCCTCCTGGCAGCTTAGCTCCAACCGCCCGAGCGGCAGTGAAGGGCTCGATCCAAGAGGGAAGACTACTGACGGGGAATCCACTGCTTGACCAAATTCCTTGAGACTGGACGGTTCTGTGAATTCGCCTAACATAGCCAGACATCTCCTTGCCAAGCAGTATGCTATTTGTTTTGTAAAAAAATGTCCAGTTGCAGAAATTCGCAATGGCGAGGCCCAATGCCTGTATGGTGTGCTGGTTGAAGTTCTCATCATCGTCATCGTCTATGTGGGGGGTGGGCCAGGAGAGGGCTGGTACAGCGCATACTGAGTGTTGATTGGTGCAATCTGACGTGCTCTCTTTGGACAGAAGTCGCATGGTGTTTGGCAGCCCAGACCTTTCCCTGCCACGCTTTGGTCACTATGTTGGTGGTTCATGCAGCGCCGTTCTTCAGCGGTTTTGTATTTATGATGTGTATGTGGTGCTTCCGGACGTGGCCTTGTGCCACTGCGTCGATGACTTGTCCGTGGTGATTGATTGTCAGTTTGTTTGTTGTTTTGCTTGCTTGCTTGCCTTGCTTGCTTGCTTGCTTGCTTGCTGGCTTGCCTTGCTTGCTTGCCTACCTGCTTGCTTGCTTGCTGGCTTGCCTTGCTTGCTTGCCGACCTGCTTGCTGGCTTGCTGGCTTGCTTGCTTGTTTCTCTGTTTCTGTGTTTGAGTTTTTCTCTGTTTCTGTTTTCTGTGTTTCTGTTTCGCGCGTGGGTGGGTGTGCGTGTGTCGGTCTGCCCGCACAAAGATCGGGCATGATCGGGCAGTGGCTTTGCAAACTGCTAGCATTGCAAGTTGTCGGGATCATGTTTGTCATGAAGCTAGTTACGTTGTTTTTGGATAGTGCCTCCTGATCGCCCTGTTATACGAAATGCCTCAGCTCCGTTGAAATGGTCAATTGTGGTTCAGGAGTTCGTTTGTCCCTTGAGTTATTGAGTGTCTCGGCAAGGTCTAATTTGAAGTCGGCTTAGGCTGCGTTTCTGGTTAGGTTTGCTATGAGGGCTTTGATTGGCTCTTACTCAAAGCCATGAGAGGTCGTTCACGACGTATGCGTCATGATGCGCCAGGACTTGGCGTATACACAACTGACAAGGTGGGCGGATGTGCAGAATTTGCAGACTCGCAGATCGGATAATCTTGCACATGACAAAAATGCTTCGCACGATATCAATATGAGCCCACTTGGTCAAGAAGTGCCTGTCAATAGGAGCGATCCACCATTCTGGACGCGCTGATGATGTTGGTGGAGAGGATTGAGAGCTCAGTGGCCGCATCCAGACTTGCCGCGTATTGCGTTTGTAGGGATAAAGGAAGGAATCAAGCCCAGCCTGCTAAATTATTCATGGGCCCAAAGGGCAGCTATTGTGTTCAGGCACTGCGGAGAAGGAGGACACGGAAGACGCCAAGAGTGTCACAGCCTTTGTAGCCTCTTGAGAAAGAACAGGCCGGTGAAACTTCCCGGAGCCAATTTTCGATAATTTTCGCCAGACCAATTCTTGCCCATTGTAGCCGGGCTGCTGCTGGAAATAATTTGTAAGGCAACACCCTGGCCCTGCAATGAGCAAAACGGCGTACGGATGGGTAGGCAAGAGCACATGGAGACTGCTGTGCAGTTTTGTCGCAACACTACAAACATCGAAAGCCAGTGTGGATTTGCCAAACTCTTGAGCTGGGCCATGGCACTTCCTGTGCTAAGTTGCTGTGCTAAGTGGAACGGAGCCTGCCATGAATTTCTGATGGAACTGCAGCCTTGTGAGCAGCCTATCTCAACATTCGAGCCATTGCCTGCATGGCGCCGCCGGTTCTCACGCACGATCTCGCCCTCGAGATCCAGGAGTGGCTTCCGAGCAGATGCGGCGTGTGCTTCCTGTTTCAGCCATGCGTGAAAGAAGCCCTCCTAATGGTTGGTCCTTCTTATCGGCCCAAAAGAGATCCCCAGTCTTGACGCATTCCATGTGGTGCCTGTGCCTGTGACGACAGCTTTGGCTCGAAGCGTCAAGACATGAAGCCGTCATGGCGACCAGCTCTGAACGGATCAATGGCATGTTTGCCAACTCCTCCACGTGGCGGTCCAAGGAGGAGGAGCAGAAAGGTCGGGCTGCTCTCCACACCAGCCAGGCTCGAGCTCTTGCAGGTTTGGTGTTCTTGGAAGGGCCCAATCTTCTCAAAGCCCTCAACCGCCCAAAGCCACCCAAGAAGTCTGGGACCCCGCCTGCCGAAGCCAAAGAAGCCTAGGCCTAGGACACAAGGCTCGTCATCCCTTTCGACCCTTTCGACTCCCCAATTTCTTGCGAGAGCCATCAACATAACAATCATAACATTAGTTTCATGGGCCGGCTGTGACCCAAGTTTCGGGAGGTGAATCGGTACAGCGCCGCCAACGCCCGGGCCTTCGCGGGCACCACGGTGAGCCAAGAGGACTTGGAGAAGGAGCGCCAGGCGGCCCAGAAGCGGAAAGCCGCGGAGAGCCTGGAGCTCAATGAGCTGCTGGAGGTCGGAGCTATCGAATCGACTCGTTGGCTTTGTGCGAGATGAGAGGTGAGACCTTTGATTTGTGCTTATCCCATCGATTCCTGTGCCTGAATTTGTTGCAGAGTGGTTTGTTGCAGCCGTTGCAGGCATCAATTGCATGTACAGCAGGATCTTTGGGAAATATTAGTCTTGATCCAAAAGTTTAGCAATGTGAGTTTCTCCCTGTTGCGAGTTTGGCTGTTTGGTTCTTAGTTCTAGCATTTCGTCATTCAAGTTTGGGTCAAGAAGGTGCAGGGGTCTCTTTATAGGACATTCTGTTTGCGACAGCTTCGTGGTGCTTGCGTGTTTCCTACCACCTTGCCAAGAGGTTCAGCCAGCGCAGAAGTGGCATACCATACCATGCCTGCATTGCGAGCTGCCTTGTCCATCCGCATCGATTTGCATTGTTTGCTTTTCATCCTGCTGTTTGCCCAAAGTGTTTCTGCCTGGGCATTTCCCGCTTGCGCGCAGTTGACGCTGTAGAACTGCGGCTGGTGGGCCCGCGCGCTGCGTCGGCTGCTCCAAATAGCAAGTTGGAGTGCGAAAGGCTTGCAAAAGTGGGTGCAGGAAAGCAACAGGAAAGCAATGAGATTGAATGAAAATCAGAGTCTTTGCTTGATCTATGCGCTTGGTAGGCGCAGAAGGCCGAGAGTGTCAAGGGCCAGACGCTGCGCATTCAGGCCAAAGCGGCCGCGAAGAAGGAGAAGAAGATGCCTTTCCTGGTCAAGAAACTGCGGGCCGAGACCGAAGCCCCGGCCGCGGAAGACACCGAAGACACCGAAGCCACCGAAGCCACCGAAGCCACCGAAGCCGCAAGAGTTGGAGCGACGGATGCCGCTCCGAAGGCCGAAGGCATCGGCTTGGCCTACTCGGACTCCGAGTCCTCCGAGTCCGAGTGATCGTGCCGACAAAGCATCGGCTGATCGAAACCAGAGTTTAAAGGATGTCGCCGTCGCGTCCAGCCACGCGGTTCCAAACATGGATTCGGCGGAAAAAGGGTGCAGGAGGTTGATATTATAAAGATGTTGGCGACAGGCCGTGCACTTGGAGAATTGCCTAAGTTGATAGTATCTTTGCAGGCATTGTTGGTGTCGAAGAACATAGGTGCGAAAGCCACGCCTTTCCTTTCCGCAAGGACGCCATGATCAGCGAGTTCTTGCGGCCAGAATTCCGGTACAAGTTGAGAGATGCTTTGACTGGTTCTGAAGGGGATATGGTCAAGCAGGTGGCTTGGAGTCACATTTGGCACACTTGTATTGCTTGACGAAGAGTGCACTTGGTCGCACTCTCTCTGGCTGGGATTCGAGGCACACGCTCGTCGGGACGTTTGTATGGCCGTTGAGATACCATTGCTTGCGAAGTACGGTTATGACGATTCAGAGGAAGCGGTTCACCAGCACAGTGACTTGTCTCATGCGGCAAAACCGTGCAGTTCCTGGGTTGCGCAGGAGTGATGTTGGATGCTCGTTCCCCTCTAGACTCAATTTGCTGCCGGCAGGTATGGCCATGGCATCACTTTTGCACGACTGTCCGGACCTGGTGGCCAAGAATCTGGAGCTCGCACGCTTAGCCCCTCAGAGTAAACAACAAGACGTGCTTCTTGCATGTGAGCAACTCGACATTCAGGGACTGCCCAGAATTTCTTGTGGGTCATCCGGTCTTGGCCAGAAAGCATGTTCGCGCTGGTGAAAGTTGATTCTTTGCCAACATGTTGTGGAAATGATATGGGTTGTGTACGGCCAAATCAGATGGCCAAAAAAAGGTTCCGTCCAAGAGAGTATGAATAAATATCGTTGCGCGGCTTCTGGGTAATGACTACGCTGTAAAAAAGGGCAGCAATGCACATCGCCACTGGAAAATGGAGGGGCTGAATCGGCGACGTCCTGTGTCTAATTGGAGGGGCATTGTGGCAGTTTTCCGAGCGGGGCACATCGGGCACTTTTGGCCTTTGATTCTAGCTCCAAGGTGAATCCGACAATGGATGTTGATGAGGATGCACACATCACAGCTGACTGACATGGCCTGGAGAGGGAGCCAGCTTTGTGAACACGCATCAACATGTTTAATGATCCAGGAGCAAAAACAAGCTCCAAGAAGGCTACAAAGATTCTGCCACTGCGCTCTTTGCTTTTACAACTCAATTCAAGGCTGTTAGGATTGCTGCGTGGTACAGCAAACCACTGCCAGGGTGTCAAGGGTCCAGGCATTGTTTGTGTTGCAACTGCAGCGTCAGACAACAAACGCACGAGCAAATTGGGCATGCTTTCGGGAATTCAGAGGCATTACACCCCAGCAGTCTCCATGCTGAGTCGACAGCGCTCGGCTATTTATTGTCGGCGCTTTTCCCCAAAGAATGGCCTGCACATGTTCCGCAAACTTTGTACAGCCTCGGCGATTTTCAAGTGCAGATGCCGAGATCCTGCACGCAGCAGGTGCCAACAGTTTGTCAGGCTCGATGAATTGTAAAAGAAAATGCCTCGGCAAGTTCTGCATGGGCTCAACCTGTAGAGAGAGAGAGAGAGAGAGAGAGCGAGACAGAGAGAAAACTTCACCAAAGCTGAGTTTTTGCAGCGGAGTGCATGACCACAGCAGAGTTGAAGGGATTGGCGATGCGTTGGCATTCTGTAGCCCCTCAGCATCAAAGCTCGCGTTCTTTGCATTGCATTTGAGCTGTTTGCCAGGGCTTCGGACATGTACGGAAAGGACCATGCGGGCTCGGTGCAACTTGCAGAACTGGCAGAGTCACAAAGTGTATGGCTGTCTCGTCAGAGAAAGGGGGGCTGGGGCCCAACATTCAACAAAGACCAGAGGAAGCCACAAAGGTGGCAAACCCAAAGTCAGCAAGAAGGTGATATGAGCGATATGTGTATTCAACAGTGAACATGTCTGTTTTTGTTGGGGTTGTTTGCAATGGAAGCCGGAGAACGACGCCTTTCCCTTTCGGGGCTCCCCCATGTTTGGAAGCGCCAACGGTCCCAATCACAGCTTCGTTCTCTGCTGGCTCGCTTTGACTTGGATTGTCCTGAAATAGGCAGCCAGCCTTTCATGGCGAGTTTACTTTGTTTCCTCGCGCAAGGCGCTCATGGACCTGGAAAAAACTCCGTACTTGCCTAGGGCTATCTTGGAAAGCCTGTCATCAATTTCGCGCACCTTCTCTGAAGGGACCCCTTTGCAGGTTGTCTCAACTGGACACTAAAAGGAATCTGATGCACTTGTCCATGTTGTGACTTCAGGCCGCCTCCTATTGTGAGACCAACCAAGAAGCGCGTCTTGTCCATTTCGGCTCAAGCCAGCGGCGTTTTTCTGCGAGCTGCTCGTGTGGGCGTTCGCCCGCCGCTGTATTTTTTAAGGCGACTTAGCCATGTGCTTGAAGTGGCTGCTTTTGCTGGCCGAGGCCAACGTCTGTAGACCTGGGGAAAAATGGAAAGGTATGGGAAAAAAAACTGTAAGAGTGGTGCCACCAGTGTTTAATGATTTGATTCAAAATTGGAATTACTTAATTTATCCAGGGGTGAGTCATGTACTCCAAAACTGTCTTGCGTCCGATTCCTTTTGCAACCAAATGATCGCCTGGGTGCCATCCCCCCATCCCTTAGTGCGACCTTTGGGGCAAAGGCCCATCGAAGCGGTGGAGTCTTCTTTTGACGAAGTCCTTTTGTTTCCCTTTTTGGAAGGATACCACATTGCAGTTCCATGCTCTTTCCCGTAGATGGTACAATGTTTGGGTGGGGAATACAATAAACCCTTGATGCCAAAGTCGCGATTCAAAGACCCAGTTGCACTCTCTGTCCCTTTTTGTTGGGTCCTCAAAGGCCAAAGGTGGTCAACCACAAGAAGGGTGTCCTGTTTCTATCAAAGTCGCTGGTTGAACTGAAACCCTCCACTTCTTGGACGAGGGGATGGGTAGCAAAAATGCAACTACTCAAAAACGGGAATGTCATAAATCTCAGGTGAACCACGTTTTTGTTCCAAGGTGTTTGTTTTAATCAAAGGACGCCTTTGCGGAAAGCTTTTGAGCATAAAGGACACCATGTTTTCAGGAAGTCTTTTTGAACACCTTCTGACACAGGGACCTTTTCGGGAACCGCTTGAAGCAAAGGAACTTTTTGGAAAGCCTTTTGAAGCGAAATAGACCTGTTTGGACACCTTCTGGATACCTTTCACAACAGAGGAAGGCTTGCTTTCAGGAAATCTTTTGACACAAAAGGAATCTTTGCGGAAACCTTTTGAAGCAAATGATCTAAGGGAACTGTTCGGAGCAAAGGAAGCCTGTTCGGAAGCCTTTGAAGCAAAGGACGATCTTTTTTTAGGACACTTTTTGGGAAGCCTCGAATCAAAGGGAGCCGCGTTTTCTTGGCTGCGGGAGGAGACCGACAGACCATCCTTCAAGTTCCCCTTGGTTTGAGTTGGGATTTCAACCTATGGTTCCTGTGGGTAAGTGACACACGAAGCACCCCCTCTCCGAAAGCTGAATCCCGCAAGGCCTGGGCCCAGCTGCCGCCCTCCGACCTGCCGATGCCCCCGATGCCGTCGGAGGCGATCATCGGGCCCACGCTGAAGGACTCCAAGAACAGCTGGCCCCAGAAGCGCCAGGCGGGGCGGGAATCCGGGGATAGAAGGGGCCAAATGAATATAGTTGGTTCCTGGCTTCCTCCCATAATTGCAGGGATTTGGAAAGTAGGTACCGGTACTTTGGCCCCAGAAGCGCCAAGTGCTGAATGGCTGAGAGTTGTTTGGTGACTGCTGTAAATCAACGTTGTTCGAGACTGTCCTTTTAAAGCAACCCCCCACCCCACCCCAAAAAGGGGGGACCGCACCCTCCCGCCCACCCAGAGTTCCCCTGAATTTTGCTGCTTGAGAACCGAGATGGTTGGCGGGTGATCTGGGTTTCCAGGGGGAACTTGCCGGCGGCCTGACGGCGAAGCTAAGAACTTAGCTCAATTCCAGCCAAAGTAGCAAACCTGCCCAACAGCTGCTCGGATGTTTGTTTCGCCAAGTTGGTAAGGGAGGTTGCAACCTACGTACCTTCCAGCCGGCTGACTCCACTTGCAAAACTGGAATGCTACCTTGACAACGAACATCCGAGTAGCTTTTCGAGCAAGCCAAGTGGTTCGCTTTGCCAGCAAACAAGACCCTCCTGTAAAGTAGGATTGCCAATCATTTGTCTAACCCTCGGATCTAAGTAGCACGCCAGTTGCCCAACAGGCAACATCTTGAAAGGGGCAGCCGGAATGAGTTGTTCATACAGCTTGATGACTCGTGTCAAGGCTGTTTCTGTTTCCTTAAACACACACTTGTGTGATAAATCGCTTTCTTGAAGGTCAAGACATGTGTTGTCCTTAGCTTGCCCACTTGTTTTGCGAGAAAGTCAAGGAAGGTGTTTCTTATCTTGCCCTTCCTTCCTTCCTTCCTTCCTTCCTTCCTTCCTTCCTTCCTTCCTTCCTTCCTTCCTTCCTTCCTTCCTTCCTTCCTTCCTTCCTTTTGTTGTGCATGCTGAATTGTCGTTTGAATTCACGACCACTTAAATAATCAGCCAGCGCGCGGGCAGACCTCAGAGCGTGAGGCAAGCAACACATCCTTCGGGCGAGGGGGGGCCGAAGCAAAGGTGTGGTGAGTTGCCATTTGGAAAGTCCAAGAACGTTTTGTTCTCCCCTTTCGCTGCCTTGGACCTGAAACCAGCCATCTTGAAAGCTGACGCCTTTCTCCTTGAGCAAGCAAGTCTTTAAGCCAGCCAGCGCTTGGACATTTTTTGTGCACGTGTGGTTGATTGCCATCTTCAAACGTCAAGGCGTTTTTCCTTGACTTGCTCTTCCGTGTGTCTGCATCGAGGTCTTGCCCAAACGCTGAACCAAGCACAAGTTTTGAACCCACAAGATATGGTTGGTTGCTGTCTTGAAACTCAGGGATCTAGTTGTTGAGACTTGCCCTTCCTTTGGTTCACAGACTCAAATTCGCTTTCTTGCTTTTTCCCTTTTGGGTTCATTCAATTCCCCTTCCAACCAACAAACAGTTGTCACTTTTTGCACCGGGGTCGGATCAGTCTGGTCAAGGTGAGTGTAAAGGTTCCTGTCAAGGGAACCATGATCATGACCTGCACATGTCCCAAACCCCTGTTTCGGGTCACTCCCTACTGAGAAGCAGCAAGGAACTTGGAGGCAATTCTCCAACAAGTGGTTCAGGGGATCCCTAGAATCATTCCAGAGGCCCACTTACTGCAGCAAGTTTTTTGGCCCGAGGTCTTACCCAAAGGCGCGCCCAACATCGTTCTGATCATGAACGACGACGTCGGCTTCGGCGCCCCGGACACCTTCGGGGGCCCCGTCCACACGCCCTCCATGTCCCGGGTGGCCGCGAAAGGCGGGTTTTGACGGGCGTGGGGCGTTCGTTTCGTGTTGACCCAAGAGGGCGGCGTCGCACTTCCACACTTACACACACACACACCCACACATTTACACACTTACACCCACACACACACAAACTCACACACATTTACACACTTACACCCACACACACAAACTCACACACACATTTACACACTTACACCCACACACACACACACAAACTTACACACATTTACACACTTACACCCACACACACACACACAAGCTCACACACATTTACACACCCACACACACACACATACATTTACACACTTACACCCACACACACACACACATTTACACACTTACACCCACACACACACACACACACAAACTCACACACATTTACGCACTCACACACACACACACATTTACACACTTACACCCACACACACACACATTTACACACTTACACCCACACACACACACACATTTACACACTTACACCCGCACACACACACACACAAACTCACACACATTTACACACTTACACCCACACACACACACAAACTCACACACACACATTTACACACCCACACACACACATACATTTACACGCTTACACCCACACACACACACACACACACACAAATTCACACACATTTACACACCCACACACACACATACATTTACACACTTACACCCACACACACACACACACACAAACTCACACACATTTACACACTTACACCCACACACACACACACAAGCTCACACACATTTACACAACCACACACACACACACATAATTTTACACACTTAAACCCACACACACACACACACCCACACATTTGCACACTTACACCCACACACACACAAACTCACACACATTTACAAACTTACACCCACACACACACAAACTCGCACACATTTACACACTTACACCCACACACACACACACACAAACTCACACACATTTACACACCCACACACACACATACATTTACACGCTTACACCCACACACACACACACCCACACATTTACACACTTACACCCAAACACATACACAAACTCACACACATTTACACACCCACACACACACACACATTTACACACTTACACCCACACACGCACACATACATACATACATTTACACACTTACACCCACACACACACACACACAAACTCACACACATTTGCACACTTACACCCACACACGCACCCACACATGTACACACGTACACCCACACACACACACACACAAACTCACACACATTTACACACTTGCACCCACACACACACACACATACCCACACACGCACACACAAACTCACACACACAAATTTACACACTTACACCCACACACACACAAACCCACACACATTTACACACTTACACCCACACACACACACACCCACACATTTACACACTTACACCCACACACACACAAACTCACACATTTACACACTTACACACACACCCCCACACATTTGCACACTTACACCCACGCACACACACACTCACACACCACACAATTACACACTTACACCCACACACACACACACATTTACACACTTACACCCACACACACACAAACTCAGACACACACACACACACATTTACACACTTACACCCACACACACACATTTACACACTAACACCCACACACACACACACAAACTCAAACACACACACACACACACATTTACACACTTACACCCACACACACACACACATTTACACACTTACACCGACACACACACACACACAAACACACACACACACACATTTACACGCTTACACCCACACACACACACACCCACACACACACACACCCACACACACACACACATTTACACACTTACACCCACACACACACGAACTCACACACACACATTTACACACTTACAACCACAAACACACACAAACTCACACCCACACATTTACACACTTACACCCACACACACACACACATTTACACACTTACACCCACACACACACAAACTCACACACACACATTTACACACTTACACCCACACACACACACACACACACCCACACATTTACACACTTACACCCACACACACACAAACTCACACACACACACATTTACACACTTACACCCACACACACACACACACACACTTACACCCACACACACACACAAACTCACACACACACACATTTACACACGTACACCCACACACACACACCCACACATGTACACACTTACACCCACACACACACACAAACTCACACACACACACACACATTCACACACGTACACCCACACACACACACACATTTACACACTTACACCCACACACACACACACACACACATTTACACACACACACACACATTTACACACTTACACCCACACACACACACCCACACATTTACACACTTGCACCCGCACACACACACTACACACTTACACCACACACACACACACATTTACACACTTACACCCACACCCACACCACACATTTACACACTTACACCCACACACACACACACTTACACACACACACACACATTTACACACTTACACCCACACACACACACACCCACACATTTAAACACTTACACCCACACACACACACAAACTCACACACATTTACACACTTACACCCACACACACACCCACACATGTACACACTTACACCCACACACACACAAACTCACACACATTTACGCACTTACACCCACACATTTACACACTTACACCCACACACACACACACACACACGTTTACACACTTACACCACACACACACACACATTTACACACTTACACCCACACACACACAAACTCACACACATTTACACACTTACACCCACACACACACCCACACATTTACACACTTACACCACACACACACACCCACACATTTACACACTTACACCCACACACACACAAACTCACACACATTTACACACTTACACCCACACACACCCACACATGTACACACTTACACCCACACACACACAAGCACACACCCACACATTTACACACTTACACCCACACACACACACCCACACACACCCACACACACACACCCACACACACATCCACACATTTACACACTTACACCCACACACACACACAAACTCACACACACACATTTACACACTTACACACCCACACACACACACAAACTCACACACACACATTTACACACTTACACCCACACACACACACACACACACATTTACACACTTACACCCACACACACACACACACAAACTCAGACACACACATTTTCACACGTACACCCACACACACACACACATTTACACACTTACACCCACACACACACACACACACAAACGCACACACACACACACATTTACACACTCACACCCACACACACACACATTTACACACTCACACATTTACACACTTACACCCACACACACACACACATTTACACACTTACACCCACACACACACACACACAAACTCAAACATTTACACACTTGCACCCACACACACACACATACCCACACACGCACACACAAACTCACACACACAAATTTACACACTTACACCCACACACACACACAAACTCTCACACATTTACACACTTACACCCACACACACACATTTACACACTTACACCCACACACACACAATCTCACACACACACATTTACACACTTACACACACACACACATGTACACACTTACACCCACATACACACATTTACACACTTACACCCACACACACACACCCACACATTTACACACTTACACCCACACACACACATTTACACACTCACACATTTACACACTTACACCCACACCCACACACACATATTTACACACTTACACCCACACACACACTCAAACTCACACACACACACACATTTACACACTTACACCCACACCCACACACACATATTTACACACTTACACCCACACACACACACACTCAAACTCACACACACACACATTTACACACTTACACCCACACACACACACATTTACACACTGACACCCACACACACACACACATTTACACACTTACTCCCACACACACACAAACTCTCACACATTTACACACTTACATCCACACACACACATTTACACACTTACACCCACACACACACAATCTCACACACACACACACATTTACACACTTACACCCACACACACACATGTACACACTTACACCCACATACACACATTTACACACTTACACCCACACACACACACACCCACACATTTACACACTTACACCCACACACACACACATTTACACACTTACACCCACACACACACATTCAAACACTTACACCCACACACACAAACTCACAAGCTCACACACATTTACAGTTACACCCACACACACACACCCACACATTTACACACTTACACCCACACACACAAACTCACACACCACACATTTACACACTTACAACCACACACACACACATTTACACACTTACACCCACACACACACAAACTCACACATTTACACATTTACACACTTACACCCACACACACACACATGTACACACTTACACCCACATACACACATTTACACTTACACCCACACACACACACACCCACACATTTACACACTTACACCCACACACACACATTTACACACTCACACATTTGCACACTTACACCCACACCCACACACACATATTTACACACTTACACCCACACACACACACAAACTCACACACACATTTACACACTATCCCCACACACACACACACATTTTCACACTTACATTTACACATATATTTACACACTTACACCCACACACACACACACAAACTCACACACACACATTTACACACTTACACCCACACACACACATTTACACACTTACACACCCACACACACACACACATTTACACACTTACACCCACACACACTTACACCTAGACACACACTTACACCCACAAACACACACATTTACACACTTGCACCCCCACACACACACACATTTACACACTTACACCCACACACATTTACACACACACACACAAATTTACACACTTACACCCACACACACACACCCACACACACACACACACCCACACATTTACACACTTACACACTTACACACACCCACACACCCACGCACTTACACACTTACACACACACACACCCGCACATACACACTCACATTACACACTTACACCCACACACACACAAACTCACACACACATTTACACACTTACACCACACACCCACACATTTACACACTTACACCCACACACACGTGACACATTTACACACTTACACCCACACACACACACAAACTTACACACACACACATTTACAAACTTACACCCACACACACACATTTACACACTTACACCCACACACACACATTTACACACTTACACCCACACACACACACACCCACACACCCACACCCACACACACACACACCCACACACTTACACCCACACATTTACACACACACACACACATTTTCACACACACACACACACACACCCACAAACACACACTTACACCCACACACACACACAAACACACACGTACACCCACACACACATTTACACACTTACACCCACACACACACAAACTCACACACACACACATTTACACACTTACACCCACACACACACACACCCACACACATACCCACACATTAACACACTTACACACTTACACACTTACACACTTACACACTTACACACTTACACACTTACACACTTACACACTTACACACACCCACACACGCACGCACTTACACACACCCACACACCCGCAAACACACACATTTACACACTTGCACCCACACACACACTCACACTCACCCACACACACCCACACACAAACTCACACACACACACACAAATTTACACACTTACACACTTACACACTTACACACTTACACACTTACACACTTACACACTTACACGCTTACACACACCCCCACACACGCACGCACTTACACACTTACACACACCCGCAAACACACACACACACACATTTACACACTTACACCCACACACACACACCCACACACACCCACACACAAACTCGCACACACATGCGGGCGCGCAGGCACGTCTGCAAGCACGCCCACCCACCCGCACGTGCACGCACCCACTTATGCACCCAACGCACCCACGCACGGACGCGGGCAGGCAGGCGCTCACGCAGGCTTGGGCGTCTATTTTTCGTGGAGCCTCCTTTTGATTGGTTTTAAAGGGAACTTCAAAACGAAATCCTCCTTTGTTAAGGGTCCATACCCAAAAGCTGGGGACAACCCTTGCTTTCTTTTACGGGTCCAAATTCAATCCCCCTTTTGGCCGGCATTGAATGGGGAGCCAACCGCGCAACCTGCTTGGGTACCCCCTTTGGATAGTTCTTCCAAGCAAGCCTGAAAGGAAGCGACCTGAGCTGAGGAAACGGTTTGATAGCACCCGAAAGGAAGCACCATGCTTGGCGACTGGAACTGAATTGGAGATCGTTTCGCGGACTCGCCCCTTTTGCGAATCATAGTAACACCACAAAGGGCAGCTAGCGCAAACCTCACACAAGTTGACCAATTGTTTGCTGTGTTTCTCTTCAAGTCCCACACAGATCCCACATGCTGACGCAAGTGAAAACACGCGAAGCACACACCCCGCAGCCGCTCTATAGGTGAATCCAAATTCTAAGCTTCCTGCGGTTGCCCCTCAAATCCAAATCCGAACTCTAAGCCTCCTTTGGTTGCTCTCAGATCCAAGCCCGAATTAAATTCTATTATTCATGTTTTTGCTCTCAGATGGGAAAACGACAAGACGAGCGAGCCGACCGCAGGGGTGACCTACAACCGCTTCCACACCACGGCCATTTGCTCCCCCACCCGCGCCAGCCTCATGACAGGGAGGAATTCTCATTCCGTGGGCGCCGGGCAAATCACCGAGGCACGAAGCGCGAAGCACCAAGCCTTATTACTTGAGTGTCCTTTTCGGTCAGTGGATGAAAACAGATGGCACTAGTTTCAGCGTGGTTCTGGCGTTGCCATTGAACACTCCGGGAGGAAACAGCGAAAAAGAGGGGGTTGGTTGTTGGGCACCCCGAAAGATTTCTCGAGGACAATTCACCACTTTCATATTTTCAACAATCAAGTGGAGACAAGGGGTTGGTTTTGAAACACCCTCCAAAGTTGAACGTGGCTTGTTGTTTAAGTCACCGATTTTCTTCGTGACAAACACCTGAGGGGATTGGTTTGAGTGATATAGCAGTCTTGGGAATGCGTGTCCCACCCGCTTCGGTCTCGCAGATTTTGGGGCGTCCAAAGAGCATATTTTGATTCGTTCCCCGAAATAGTGCTCGACACACGCCCAACAGATGGACTACTACTTTCTCCCAACAGAGTTGTGGTGCCCCAACCAAGCCCCTTTCCTTCCGGCCCCCTTTGAAGTACTCTAACTCACTGGCAGCTGGCAACAAGCCCCCAGAAGAAGGGGAGGAGTAGGTCGAACATGTTGTGAGTCCCCCATGCCCCTCCCAGAAGCGCCATCTACTGGATGTTTTGCAAAAGTTCTTGCCTGCCACGGGTAAACGTGGTATGCACTTCTACCCTGGAGCCCCAAAAGCACTGCCAGAACTCACCAGTTTGTTCCGTTTGTTCTTTGTTGCTTTGGGTTTCCTTCCTTTCTCCTTGCAACCAGCAAACAGGGGTATTCATTTTTTGCAGGGGGCCTCACGTGTTTGGCGTTTTCGGTGCATCCATTACCATCGCAAGGCGGCCAGCGGCTTTCCTGGATACACGGGCATCATCCCCAAGAGCGCCGCCACCGTGGCCAAGGTGCTGGCGGGCTACGGGTACGACACCGCAGCTTTTGGGAAGTGGCACAACACGCCGGTGGACAACCTCTTCAAGACCGGGCCCTTTGGACACAAAAGACCAGGGCGGGGATGTTCTTTTGCAACCTTTGGCGAAAAAAAGAAGGCCCCCCAGAAAACTGTGGGGGTTGAAGTTTTGTAATAAGACACAAAGCAGGCCACGGCCCAGGGTCCCGCTTTGTAGGGCTGTACCTCAAGACGGGGCTCTTAGGGAAAAACATATAGAGATCCTCAAAGGCTTTAGGCCAGTCCGTTTGATTGTTCTTCAGCTCCTTGGACACCCAGGCCCGTCGACTAAGATCCGACAATAACGAGCTCACCGATTCGTGGCCAGATGTTTGCAAGCAAAGCCAAACCCGCGTTTTACTCAGGCCCTTAGTTATTTCATCATACACATGTGTGTATATACATGTATATATATACATATTATGGTGTTCATGTTCCTGCAAGACGCCTTGCAGGGCTGAAAAACATGCTTTTCAATCACTCGAGTCCCATTGTGCTTCAGTGTTGGCACCTGCGTGTTTTTTTACATGATCAGCTCAATGATGTCAAGTGTTCCATGGGGTTTGTTGCTGAGGCGTGACTTAGGAGTGACTTCTTGGAATCGGCGTTTACATGGGAGAACACATGGCCACAGAAAGAAAGGAGTGACTTCTGACTTTGTTGTTCCCCTGAGAACATCCAGAAAAGTGTTTCCTCCAAAAGCCGGATCCTGGAACTGGAACTAAACTCTTTTGAAAGATCTACTTTAGTCTTGGGCTTCAATATTACCCTTGAATTGGGCATGAGGGTTCCAGGTCTCCAGAAAGGATTTGAAAAGGAGCTTTGGTTGATTCCGTGTTGAGATGTTGATTTGAGTATCCATTTGATGTTGACTTGCTGGAGCTCAAAAGCGGGTGCGGCCCAGATAGCCCACTTAATACCATGGGGACCCACACACTTTACACGGGCTGTGCACTCATGTGGCCCACGTGACCTTGTCAAATTACCACTATAAAAAGGGGTTTGACAAAGAAACAATCGCACTTTCAGAAAGCCGTTTGTGCTGGCTTGGCACTGCTTCGTGGCTGTGCTAGTACTAGAGCAAGCCCGCAGGTTTCTTTGCTTGGGCATTGCAAATCAAATGAAGAAGAAGCAGAGCACAGCAGTGAGAGCATTGGGCAAACAGGAAGCAGCGGCATCATCAGGGGGGATTGAAGTTTTTTTTAGTATCCTTTGTTATTGCGGTTTGGTGTGGGGACCTGTCGAATAACATGTGTTTTTGGGGAACACGCTTGTTAACATGTATTCTTCAAATTGGGGGGGTCCTATGGGGACCTGTTTAATAAGAGCCGTGGCTTAATCCTAGGCGGACAGTATGCATAGTGATATCTACCATATATGCATGCCGCCGCCCCGGACAGTGCGCTCAGCGGCGCGCACTTTGGCCGGGAAAAATGCACTTGCCCGAGGCGAAACGCAGGTGCTCATCATTTGCGCACTGTTCAGCGGGTGCGCTTGGGCGGGCGTGCTTCTCATTTGGCAGGCGAACGGCACAACGAGCATGCCTACTTGCAAGGTTCTCCAGACGCAGGCGTCCGGAGCATGTACATAATGAATATACGTACATATCGTACATATATTATCTTCCTCCGGCTTCTCATTTGGGGTCCGAGGCCCTTTGACCAATACCCCACGGGCCTGGGCTTCAGCTACTTCTATGGGTTCCTGGCGGGGGAGACCTCCCAGTACGAGCCGCGGCTCTTCGAGAACACCAATCCCATCGAGCCCCCAAAGTGGAAGGCGCCGCGGGTCACAAGGGTCATCAAGGGTCCCAACAGGTGCCCTTTTCAAGTTGGCACAGGGAAGCCAAAAGGAAAAGCATGGAAAAGCCCTTTTTTGAAGCTTTCCTGTTCATATCTCCTTTTCACGGGTTTCAACATCAGGGTGCGGTTCCCTATAGGGCTGATGTTTGCCGGGAAATATGGGGAACCCTGGGTCAGGGGTGCGTGGGCGGGGTGCTTGACGTTGATTTAGGGGGTCAATTGTTGGGGTGGACTCAGCAAGGACGATGATCCCCGGATGGGAAACCTAAATGAGTTGATGTTTACGGGAGTGCTAGGCTAAGGGTGAATTCTGGGAGATACTTGAGGAATACTGAGGGAATACTTGGGGAATATCAAGGGAATACTAGGGGAACACGGAGGGAATACTAGGGTACGAATGGAATACGAGAGCAATGCTAGGGGAAAACGTTGGGCGATTACCAGTAAAATTCTGGGCAAATGCTGAGGAATACTTGCAAAAGCACTAGGGGAATACTGCGGGATTGCTAGGATGAGAGCTGCTTGCAGTGGATGGCCATGCCAAGGTACAAGAAAGGCTGATTTCAATCATACAGGCCCACCCCCCGCGGGCCGCTCTCAAACCGAGACCAATAAAAAGCTGGTGATCAAATGTTAAGCCTGAAAGATACGGGCGCTGTCAGGACAGGCCCTACCACCTCACGGAGGACATGGCGGACCGCGCAGTGAAGTTCACTGGCCTCGTTATTTTCATCATCAACGTTTCAAGTGGTAAAGGGAAATGACCCAAATTGCTGACTTGGAGAACCCCCAGAACAGGGTTCCTGAAAAGATACATCCAAAAGCTAGAACTCTAGTTGGGTGGTTTTCTCACTGGTCCAAAATTGGCCCAACAGGTGATGTGTTGAAAAAGGGAGAAGGGGAATATAGGCCCTGCTGAATACCCCTTCTGGGCCCTGCCAAAACAATGACCCAGAAATTCGTGGCGCTCTTTTTCCTTTTGTTTGGGAAGGGTTTCCCCTTTTGAAGTCAACCACCAACCAAAAGGGTGCCCTTTTTTTCTTATGGAAATCCAACGGGGTCTGGGAGGTTCATCAAAGACAACCGCGCCCTGACCCCGGACCGGCCCTTCTTCATCTACTTCGCGCCCGGGGGCACCCACGGGCCTCACCACGTCTTCAAGGAGTGGATTTTCCGCCATAAGGCTGGAGCTTTTTTGTGAGGCTCGGGGTTACTCGGGGTCCCAAAAATGTCATTTTTGGCTGTTTCAAACATCCCGTTTTGGCCAGGTGAGTTTCCTTTCAGGTGATGTTCAACGGGCAAATATAGGGATCCCTGTTTGAGGGTATCCTTTTTGAGGTGGCACAGGGAAACCAAAAAGACACTGTTATTAGGAGTCGCCCTATTTTGACACATACCAATTTGTGCCTGACAAGCGGTTTAACCCAGCCCGCCCAACTCAGACCCAAAGCGACAACTTCTGGTGGCAAGCTTTCGAGGTTCGGTTTGGTTTCCTCGTGTACAGTTTGGACACCAACTGTAGCCCAGAGGCACCTGAAACAGCCCACCTGCTTGTTGCTTAGTTTTAGACGCCCAATTTGCAAAGCCTACGTCTTCTGACGTGTAAGACTCCCAGATGTGCGATGCAGTATGTGCGAAACAGTTCAAGCGTACCTGAAAAGAAACGCGGCCTTTCCAAGCAATAATGAGCGGTTTGCGATAAATCAACCGACTTGCCCAAGCGAATCGACCTTGTGGCCTTTTGGTTTGCCAGTTTTGGTCTATAGCTAAGGAACCAAAAGGCCCTTCTTGTCAAGGGTACCATCAACCAAAGGCCCTTGAGTGGGCGGACAAGCGCAAGGGCCTTCTTAGGTTCAGGTCTGTCCTTCAGTGCATTTGCATTCAATCGTGGTCGTGGAAAGCAGGGCTTTTCGGCCACTTCCTGTGCAAAGGGAGGAATCCCCTCTAAAGTGACAACGGAGGCCACTGCCCACTTTGGTATCGCGAGGCGTACCTTCCACCATGTGGTGAATCGAGGAGTGGGCGGACAAGTACCAGGGCAAGTTCGACATGGGCTGGGAGAAGCTGCGAAACGTAACCTTCCAGCGCCAGAAGGCTATGGGCTGGATCCCGCAGAGCGCACAGCTCACGAACATGGATCCCACCATGGAGAAGTGGGAGGCACGGGTGGGCGAGTTGGAAGGGGCTCCTTCTTTTTGTTGGGGGGGGTGCTTGCAAGGGAGAGCTAAACGAAATCATCCGTGTTCGCGGGTTGGGGACATATCCAGAGAGGCGCGAAAGTGGGCAGGTTGGGTTGCTTAAAAAGGGCTCCCTGTTGGCATTTGGGGCTTGGTATGGGAGGTTGAGCTGCTTAGGAAGGGGATTCCCTTATTTCGTTGTTTGGAGGCTGCAAACATCACCTTTTCAAAAAGGCCGCTTCGAAATCAGTGTGGTTTTGATGGAGTCCCTGTTTTTGCTTGCTTGTTTGTGTGTTTGTTTGTTTGTTTGTTTGTTTGTTTGTTTGTTTGTTTGTTTGTTTGTTTGTTTGTTTGTTTGTTTGTTTGTTTGTTTGTTTGTTTGTTTGTTTGTTTGTTTGTTTGTTTGTTTGTTTGTTTGTTTGTTTGTTTGTTTGTTTGTTTGTTTGTTTGTTTGTTTGTTGTGTTTGTTTGTTTGTTTGTTTGTTTGTTTGTTTGTTTGTTTGTTTGTTTGTTTGTTTGTTTGTTTGTGTGTGTGTGTGTTTGTCTGTCTGTTTGTTTGGTTGTTTGTTTGTTTGTTTGGTTGGTTGTTTGTTTGTTTGTGTATGTGTTTGTTTGTCTGTTTGTTTGGTTGTTTGTTTGTTTGGTTGGTTGTTTGGTTGTTTGTTTGTGTGTTTGTTTGTTTGTTTGTTTGTGTGTGTTTGTTTGTTTGTTTGTTTTTTTGTTTGTTTGTTTGTTTGTTTGTTTGGTTGTTTGTTTGTTTGTTTGTTTGTTTGTTTGTTTTTTGTTGTTGTCTTTTGGTTGTTGTGCTTGCTTGCTTGCTTGCTTGCTTGCTTGCTTGCTTGCTTGCTTGCTTGCTTGCTTGCTTGCTTGCTTGCTTGCTTGCTTGCTTGCTTGCTTGCTTGCTTGCTTGCTTGCTTGCTTGCTTGCTTGCTTGCTTGCTTGCTTGCTTGCTTGCTTGCTTGCTTGCTTGCTTGCTTGCTTGCTTGCTTGCTTGCTTGCTTGCTTGCTTGCTTGCTTGCTTGCTTGCTTGCTTGCTTGCTTGCTTGCTTTGTGTTTGTTTGTTTGTTTGTTTGTTTGTTTGTTTGTTTGTTTGTTTGTTTGTTTTTGGGGGCGGCGGTGTTTGTTGGTTGGTGGTTGTTTGGTCTTTCTGGTTGGTTGGTTTGGTTGGTTTGTCTATGAATGGCACCATGTGGGGCAACCAGTGTGCTTCTTGTTCGTTTTCGGGTATTGGCCCCCAGTCGTAGGACATCCCGGAGCGGCACCGCGCCTTCCAGCTGCGCCTCGTGGAGGTGGGCGGCAGATACCCTCTTTGCTGCCACGTTTTTCCCGGGAGCTTCCGCGTTTTGAAGGTACCCAAGAGGGGTGTGTCTTTATTGAGAGTATCCTTATTTTCAGGGGTGTTCCGTGTTCCTCTCTTTCCACGCGTTTTCCAGGTTGAATTGTCGCCAGCTACTTGCAAGTAAGCGGTTTACCAAGTACTTTCAAGATCCCCATTTCCCAGTCCTTCCGATTTTTACTATGAGATACCCCTTAGTTGGTGGTTTCGCATTGGAGGTTTGGGGGATTGAACCTTTGTTTCTTGTAGAGGGTAAATGGGAAACCCCCCACTACCCTCCAAACCACCAATCCAACCACCAATTAGAGGAAACTGAACAAGAGTAAGTAACCAGAGGAGACCATTCTTTCCCAACCGTGGAAGCTGGAAGAGTCCTCTTGAACCGGTCCCAAAAAAGTCCGCTTTTGTGGGTTATTTTGAACGGAAACAAAAGGAACCCTCCAATTTTAGCCCCGATTCCTCGGCTATTTCTCACCCATCGTTCTTTCGGGAACTAAACGCACTTCCTGGGTTTGACGTGAAAAGAAGGATCCCTGGAAAGCATGGGGAGAGTACGGCTTGTAGCAAGGCAAGACACCGGTTTGGACGCTTCAATGAAGGATCCAAGCTTTAAGCACACGTTTGGCAAGCTCAAAGAGGGAATCCACAGGTGGATTTGCCATTCAAAACAAATCAGGAAAGGGCGAAGCCAAATTCCCATGTGATTTCTTGATTTCTTGTTTTCCGAATTCATTGTGTCACCCCCCCCTCTCCTCCCCGCAAACTAGCAACTGCTCCTGCCAAAGAGGGCCAAACAAAACCAAAATTACGATGATAGTTATCATCATAATCATCATCATGATCATCCTTATTATGATGTCATGGCTCTTCTCAGATTCTCATCATGATCATGATCATCATCATCTCATTCTTGATTCTTATATGCATTTCAAAAGTGACGTCAGACCCCATTGACAATGCAGAGGATGCTACGACGATACTTATCATCACAGTCCTTATCATCACTATCATCATGGTCATCATCATCTCTTGTTAGCCGGCACTGATGATGCCGAGGATGCTACGATGATATAATCATCACAGCCCTCATCTTTGTATATAGAAGAAAGATAGAAGAGTGGGCGGTCTCATTAGAGAGATCAGTGCCAAAAGGAAACGACTGGCAGGAATCGTGTCCTTGCGCAATAGCTCACATCCAACAGAGCTGCTGGAAGATCTCAGGTGTACGCGGGGTACCTGGAACACACGGACACCCAGCATGGGAAGATCTTGGACGAGTTGGAGCGGCAGGGCCTCTTCAACAACACCTTGAGCCACGGCGGCAGCTCACTTGATCTTGGCTGCTCGCCTGCCCCAAAGCCTGCGTTTTAATCTTTGCCAGTTGTGGTCTATCTTCAGTCAAGATTCGAGGTTAAGCCTTTATGTCCAGGTCCATTGGGCAAGTGAGACTGACTGTTAACTTCAACACACTTTTCTTTGTTGGCTTTTTTGGACTGAGAGCTGAGCACGTAGGTCAAGCCACGGCACCCCAGGCGGAAATGGGTTCTAAAACTATGAATATAACCACATGAAGGTGACGTACCTCATTTTTCCTCGGGGCCAGTGGCTTGGGAGGGGGAATCCTTTCACAAAACCTTTCTGCTTTGGGAAAAAGAGGGTCCAACAGAAAGCTAGCCCCAAAGGCTTCGGGAAAAATGGGACTTACAGCGACCCCCAACAGCCCTGGTTAGCTTTTGGTGGAACTTGAGGTACAGCAACCACTTTCTCCCGTCGCTTTTCTCAAACAACGCCCACTTCGCATGTTCCATGGAGTTTGGTTTTTGGCGATTTGGGGAGTGGATTTGAAGCCCTGGTCCTTGCTTAGGCAAAAATGGAAAGACACCCCCCAAAGCCTCCAAACCACCAGTAAAGATAAGCCAACTGCCAGTCAAGGATCTTCGGGCTCCTCCACGTGCCCCTGGAGTAGGTACCCCAGTATAACCTGGCGGATGAATAGGGGGTAGTTCTCCTCAAAAGTGAAGGATCTCCTCTCAAGTGGGACCTCGGTTAATCTACCAGAGGTTGATTGATCCTTCCCTCTCCACGTGCCCCTGGAAATGTGCCCCTGCAATAACTTCCCTTTGACCTAGGCGCCTACCTTTTGTATGTGGCGTAGAAGAGACCGTAACGAAAGGGCATTCGGATTGAATCCATGGTTGATATGAGAGTGTGACAGCACGCAAGGTCTGCTTAGGCCAAATAGCAAGGTACCCCCTAGGCTCCAGACCCGGCGGACGCTCTTTTTTGCGATTTGGGAGGATGCTTTCATTGTGGTGGTTTCATTGCGGTTCCCCGGTGAAAAGGCCTTCATATTTGCGGGGCTCCTTGTTTTGGACACACCTAAGTGGTTTGGCCAGGCGGTTTGGAGTTTGGAGGCTGCGCAGGTCTTTTGACCTTGTTGGACCTTTGGGTTTCCCATGGTGGCCTTTTTGTTTGTTTGTTTCAGTTTTCATTTTGGACGGTTTCCTTGTGGCTTCCTCTACGTTTCCCGTTGTGGTTTCCATCCTTAAACCTTCCATCCGATGTTCCTCGCCCCCCCCCCCCCCATTTCTCCGCCGCGCCCAATGTCTGAAGTCCCAGGATCATCTACATCCTGGGGGACAACGGTGCCAGCGCGGAGGGCATGCAGCTTGGCTTTGGCTTCACCGAAATCACCCAGAAAATTCATTTGTAGAGGAAACGCCTTCTGGGCCACCCGCCACGTGAATTTTCCCCCGGGGTCAGAAACTCGGTTTGACCAAGGCACGGCACCATCGACGAGCTCTTGGCAGAGAACATGCTGCCCAGCACGGCAGACATGCAGATCGAGGTGCTCGAGAAGCAGTTCGGCGGTCTCTCTGCCCTGGGAGGCCTGGGTCAGGGTTTGATTCAACCTTTGAAGGGGATCAATCAACCGTGTTTTTGAAGAACAGCGCATGGATTTTATGAAGCCCACTTTGGGCCTTGGGAAAAGATAAAGGGACCGGGTCCCTGCAAGTGTAGAAACCCAGAGGGCCGTTGATTTTTCCTATGTTGCCCCAAAAAGAGGCTCAAAATGCCAACCTGGGGTTGGGGGTGTGATTTTTTTTTGTGTGTGTGTGTGTGTGTGTGTTTTTTTAAGAGAATCCTCCGCCTGGTTAGATTGTTGCTTGAAAGGCCGAGATTCTAAACCAGCGGAACGAGGAAACTCCACGTTTTGTGTTGGTGTTTGGCGAGCCCAAAACCCTTGATGTTTGGCGGGTGTTTTGCAAATTGGATGTAGCAGTTCCGGCATTTGTGAGGGCAGTGCAACCCCCGTTCAAAGGCCGACCTCATTTTAGTTATCTGTTTTGTTTGCTTGTTTTTTTTTTTTCTGGTTGAAGCCATGGTTCAAAGTACCAAAGTGTTGGAACATCAAGATCCTTTTGGTTGGCGTAAGGGAGCGCCGAGTCGCGCCGAGGCCCGCAGGTGGACAACATGTACCACGCCTCGTGGCTTGGCTGGGGCTCGTTGTACAGAAATGGACCGCGTAAGAGCATAGATCTTGGTAGGAATTCATGTCTACCAACCACTTTTGAGAGGTTCCTCGGTGCAATTCATGGTCATATATGCTCCAGGCCGTGAACCCCACCCCCCCCTCCAACCACTTTTCAGGGTGGGTTGGTTTTGGGTAGGATGTTGCGAGAGGTGCTGGAAAGGGGTGCGCTGCAGGGTATGTGGTACTGGACATCATCCCCAGCATTGCCAGCATCATCCCCATGATGCAGATGATGCGGAGGGAGGGGGGAACTACCCTTTGCAGGGGGGGTTGAATCACGGGTTTACCCCCAATGGCCCTTGTTCTGCGTCCATTTTAGTAAGATGGTAAAGGGGATGTGAGTCACTGACAATATGATTGGTAGGCTACCGGTGCTTTGGGGAGAACATGGGGGGACCACACAATTTCCCCCACAAGAACAAACACATGTCATTTTGTGGAGCAAATCATATTGCACGTGACTGACGTATGGCCGGTCAAAGTCCCATCCCAGGCAAAAGGTGTCCAAGCGAGGTCCCAGGGGTTGAAACCAGAGGGGCAATTCTTGTCATGTTCAAACACCACTTGCTTAAAGAACCTCCTTTTGGCTCCCCTTTCAAGGGGGGCCGAAGGGCCTGGTTAACACATCGTGCAGGGAGATTGCTTCAAAATCTGCCCGAGAGGCGATGCTTAAACCACTCAAAAAGGGAAGTACAGCGGATGGACAAAATCCTGCACCGGTTCGGATGGACGACCCTATCAACTTGCATTTGGATGGATCAAACATTGCAGCTTAATGGCCTAGGGTTTCCCTATGGTGCCACCCTTGGTAGAGACCAACAAATTCTACAATTCCAAACTCAGCAATCAGACTCCTAACTAATCAAAGGCCGCTTCCCCTTAGTAAAGCGCTTCATTCCCTTGTCACAACGATACTCCTTCTTCGGGGCTGGCGAAAGCTTGAGGTGGGCCTGGGCCATGGACACGCCCTTCAAGAGCACCAAGCTGGTGGCGGCCCACTTCGGCGGCACGCGGACGCCCATGGCCATTTGCTGGCCCAAGGCGAGCGAGCCGACCAGCCCCGTCGGGCCGGGCAAACCAAAGGCTGAGGGCCCAAAAGAAGCGCTCCAAATGCCAGGGAATGCTCAAGTATGAGGCAGCGACAAACATTTGAACTTCTGCTTTTCAAGAGGTTGTAGGGTTGCTAGTATTTTCTAGGCAAATTATAACAAGCTCACCGATTCGGGGGTGAGACGAGCATTTGCACCCATCAAGGTTCCCTTTTGATTCACTTTGGGCATGATAATGCTTTGCCCAGATAGAATGAAATTGTATTTCTGTTCTTGAGCCAAACTAAGTCATGATCATGAGAATAAGAGAGCCAAGTAATTATCTTACATTGTGTGTTTGCGGATGTCCGGTTGACGGCTTGTCGGGTTTGGCGTCACCAACTATAGGGTTTTTGTTTCCCTTTGTTTTTCTGGTTTCCATCCAGAGTACCCCATCTGCAAGCTTCTTCCTTTACCCCCGCATCGGTGGAATGGCTGATTCTCAAGCAGATTGTTTGGTATGTATATGTTGAGGAACCCTGTTTTGGCGGACATTAGAAATACCTTCCCACTGACAAACATAGAACCGCCAGAGGGTCCTTTTTAGAGGAATTTGTTTTTCGGGAGCCCCCAGGTAGGTTCCAGATTGGTGGCTGGGAGGGTAACAACTCATCGTTTGATCAACCCTGTGTGACAGTGTGGTTCCCCTTGAAACCTCCTTTTTGGTTCGCCTGAAGCGGAATTGTGTTATCAGGTCTGGTTGAACAGGGGTCCAACTAATGTCCTGTGGTGGTTTCAACCATCACCTCTTAGGCTCATTTGAAGTGAGTTTCCCTGTGGGGAGATGTTTAAGGGTCAAATATGGGCGGTGGCATGTTCGCCCAGCCGCAAGGTCATCAAGCCGGACCCCACGCCTCGCAGCCAGTTTCACCATGTCGCGGACATCGCCCCCACCATTTATGAGGCAGGTGCCAGGTTTAACCCTGCCAGGGCTCTTTTCAGGTCTCTTGAAGCGCTCCGACTGATTCTCGGGCAAGTGCCAACTTGTGGGTACCGGGGTAATATGTTTCTCTCAAAAGAGGTGTAGTAACAATTCAAACAAGCGCCTCAGCTCTGAAATAATCCTAAAGCCACTTCAGGGTATACGCGGGTTGTTCAGGTAGACCAACCTCTGAATTACTGTAGTCCCAAAGCCACTTCAGGCGAACGGCAGACCAAGGGCGCCCCAGCATGTCACACAAAATGGCCAGGCCATCGGCGTCAAGGCGCCTGGGCACATGGATGGGGTGGCGCAACAGAAGCTGGACGGGGTGTCCATGGTGTACACCTTCAACAACGCCACGGCGGAGGACAAGAAGTCGGCCCAGTGCCTTTTGCGCTTGCCAACCCATGTTGTCATGTTGTCCCCATGTCTTTCTTGTTTTCAACGTTTTGCTTTCGATGTTCGGAGGGGTTCATGACACACCTTCAACATCCAAGGTACTTCGAGGTCATGGGAAGTCGAGGTATCTACAAGGATGGCTGGTTCGCCTCTGTCTTTGGGCCTCGCATCCCCTGGACGGACCCCAATGAGACCCGGATGGCCCAGTGGGACCCAGACACAGATGTGTGGGAGCTCTATGATCTCACCAAGGCCGGGCTTTTTGGATGAAAACAGCTGGCAGTGGCTTTAGTTTGGCTTTTTTTAATTCCCAGTGCCCTTTCTTTTTCCGAAAGGCGCACCTAGGAGTCAGCGGAATCAAAAGGCCCCCAAGCCTGTGGTTGAACCAGGGTTTGAATCAATGTTGAAACCACTTTTTTTTGTGTTTCTTGCTTTAAATTTCACCACTGACAGCTTCTTGAATGCGAGTCTTTTTGAGGCAGAACTGGAACATAGACTTCTCTGTGTGCTTCAGATGTGGGCCAAGGCGGGGGGTGGTTGAACCACCTATTTTCTGGCAAGGACTACAGCCAGGCGCACGACCTGTCCAAAGAAATGCCGGAGAAGATGGAGAAGATGAAGCAGATCTTCCTTCTGGAGGCATCCGAGAACAAGGTGGGGATGTGTCGAAATACCTCCCCTTCTCCTACCTTAAAAAGGGGTCCCTATATTCCCCCATTTGGTGGATTCAAACGTCACTTTCAGGTGAGTTTTTTGCGGGGTGATGTTCCAGGGAAATCTAGGGAATCCTGCAAAAAGGGAGACGTGAGCGGTCAAGCTTCCTGGAGTCTATGTGGAGGGCACGAGCCCTTGTTTTACGTGATGTTCGGTCAACATATCTAGAGGTCTACAGTCCTTTTTGGGAACGGCTAGGGGACGGAGCCCTCAAGTTCGCATGTGCGGTTCGGTCAAGCTATCAGGTGGTCTATGATTGATTTGGGGGGACATGGGGGGATGACCTCTAAATTTCAACCACAAATTCCGGGGTGACGAGCCCTAATTTTCCTGGTCCTTAAGGTGCTGCCAGTGGGGGCGGGGCTCTACACGGTCTATTACCACCCGGAGGAAGCGCCCAAGTCCCCTTTGACACACTTCGAGCTGTATCAGGGCATGACCAGGACAGGGCGTGGCAATATCACGGCCATTTTTTTGGGGCCTTGGCCGTATTACCACCTTCATTTTCTTGGGACGCGTTCCCCGCAGCCGATCCTGCACAGCTAGACCCATCAATTTGTTTCCCCCTGACGAGCTTGGTTGAAAATATAGGAAACCAGCATGAACTCCGATTTGGAGTGTGCCTTGTTTGCGGTGTTTCCCAGGGGAACTCATTTGGTTGCAAATACCTAAATTCGAGTCTGTTGATTGAGCATACCCGGACTTGAACTGTGGGTTGAATGTATTTTCTTAACTTGTTACCTGACTTCCAGTTTTCACTTGGCCCTTGAGCCTTCAACCGCGTCGAACAAGCCGCATTCGAAGGATCGCAGAGGCCAACGCGCCCTCCTTCCACAGCGGCGTCTCCTCTCTGAGCACTGTGGACCTTGAGGTGCCGGACAGCGAGGCCTTTGGGCAAAATGCTTGCGTTTACCTTTGGGCTTATCGGCCAAAATGCCGGCTGGGGGGTTGAAACAACAGCTCCATCTTTGCCAGGTTCATGATGTTGACCGTTTCTTGTGGTTGTCCAAGTCAGCGGCTGGGGTTGTTTCCCTTGCACCTAATCACTTCTGGGGTGACTTTGATGATGGTAGAAGAATGGGGTCAGAATGTAGAGGGGAAGCCTCTGGTTGATGATCTGGGCGGAGCCGCGAGGGGAACACCGACCTAATCTGCAAAGGTTGATTTATTGGGAGGACCCTTTTATATTGGGGATGGGGTCGGGGAACAGTTGATGAATCCAGGATCAATATGACATAGTATAAAGGCCTACATGGGGTTGTGGTACGTCAAGCGAAAGTTAGTCGTGATTCTGGCGGAAACTATTAGCCCCTTATAAACAAGGCTTAGTCGTCGGCCGCAAACCCACACTCTCTTTTTTTTCCGTTTGTAGCATGGAAGACTTCTGTCACGTGGTGACCTCGCCACGCCTGCCACGCGGGCCGCCAAGGTCTTCAGGTGCAATCGCGATTTCAGCTGGTAGACCTTGTATAAAGGGAAGAAACACTCTACTTACAAAAGAACAATCATTTTGACCACCCCCCCCCCGGCACAGAAGCGACGAATTTCCCGATTGACAAAGCTTGGCGTCCCCAAAAGTCAGAATGATGTGGAGTTGTCATGGCTGCACTTCGCAGCGCAACTTGCCCGCTGCATGTCAACATATAGCGGCATTTGCCAGCGTTGTGGCGACAAACACTTCTCACCTGCGTGCACGTAGCTGTACGTGTTGCGCACGCACGCTACCCCCCCCCCCCCCGCGATGCGCGCTAGGTAGGAACCAACTTGCAGAGAAATGGCTCCTGAGCTTGCTGATTGCGTGGGCCCAGGACACGAAAAATCATGCTATGCACTGATCTCCATATATTTGTCCACTGCCCAACGCTTGCATCGGGGACAATCCAAGGTAATCATCCCCAGACGGTTTCCGGACCTCCTACTCTGACCCTCACAACCCTGAACCCCCCGAGAATTGCACTACGCAAACACAAAAAACATCAACATTAGCAAAATGAGCGAATTCCGAGTCATCAGTGACGACTCGGCAAAAACAAGGATCCAAAAAAGGGAAGCCACATTGGCTGAAACCAAAGGACGGCTTTTTTTCTCAAGAATTGCTTTAAGCCATGTTTAAAACCGGGCGAAACAAAAGCTTGGCTGTTCAAAGGCAATTGTCAATCCTTGTCTTGGGCTGCTAAAGGATTTGGGTCCCTTTTTCGAATACTGTCCTTCTGGGATTACGGAGAATCGGATTGGCCAACCCTTCAATTTGAACAGTCCAGCAAAGCGCGGCACGGCGGCGGGAAATTGGGTTTTCAGTTAAAGCGCTACAGTAGTCATGGGAATGACCCATACCGGTATCACAGAACATGTTGTTGTCCGCAACCATCACCATTGCCACCCTCCGGATGTTAATGGACTCCAAAATTTCAATGGGAAGGTCATGATTGATTTCGATTGCTTTTGACTCCGAAATTGTTTTCCCATGTGACGGTGGGCAAACATACTGTGGACGAAATGCGGGCACAAGTTGGTACTCACAGGGTGCTGCCCGCAGGCCTCGGGGGTTTTGTTCTGCGTGGGCGGCACGGGCGGAGGCTTCTCCGTGTACCTCGAAGCTCGGTGAAACTTGGGATCTTCAACCCGCCTGCCTGGGCAATCACGACGTCGCATTTTCGGGGGGGGGGGGGGGGGAGGGGGGGGAAGTTGATATCGACGTCACCAGGATGAAGGTTCCTTACATAGAGATCCAATTCTTACTTTCGGTTGGTGAACTATGACTCTGCGTTTGAATTTCGGGTCCCCTCAAGAGTCTTAAGTCCGAGTTGCCCCAATGGGCTAGCCTAATGTAGGCATGGTTTTGATGGCGAGCCACAACGTGTGTGTGTGTGTGTGTTTGTTGAGTGAGGGTGCGTTCCTTGGGGTTAAGGCAGATGTGAAGGTGAGTACTTTTCTCCCACAGGTGTCGTACCCCAATTAATCTAAGAGCATTTCTCATTTTGTTCTTTGGCCGCTTTTAAAGTGCTGTAGCTCATTCCCGGGGGTTTGCAAAAAGTGCTAGTCTGCGTTTGAATAAAGGGGCCCCCGAAAAAACTTGGGGCTTGGAAGCAGTGACGTTGGGAATTCTCCAAATTACTTGGCAGTTTCCCTTCAAACCACCATTGAGAAGGTAAAGGTGACGATATCACTTCCAAATGCCAGGTGACCAGACGGAGGTGTTTCGAAGGTTTGGAAATGAAGGTTTCATGACCAGCAAAGCGTGGCACGTTCACTCTTTGCGGAAATCAACCATTTTTAGCGGTTTCCTTTCTTCAAGTATCCCGATGTTCAGAGGGCTTTATCCATCCCACCCAGTGCAGAGTGTCGTCCATCCATAGTATCCAGATCCAAGGATGGAGGCTATCTCTACGCGGAGTACATGTCCACCTTGCTGTTCCGCTACATCGCCCGCTCCGAGTCGCCTTTGGCCCCAGGGCGTCGCAAGATCGAGGCGGGTAGGTCTTTGGGGTCCGTTCTGCAGGGTTATATGCCACTGATAAAGGAGGTATATAATACCTTACAAGCTTTTCTAGTAAATGGAATGTTAGTCTCCATAGAGGACTGCGAAGCACAGGGTTTTAGAAGCGCGAACTTTTTCCAGTTGCCGTTTGCTCATCCCAATTCCCAAGCACAAATGTTAACAAGCAGCACCACGAACCCTTTTTCAATAGCATTATTTCTGTCATTCGACCGACCCCCTGAAGCTATTCTTCTGAGGTGTGTTGGAAACGCGCCAGGTGCATATTTATGGGAACGATCCCCACCCAGCTATTATGCAGGGACCTCGGTTGTTAGTGTCCCCCAGATTTTGCGACATCTTGCGCGTAAGGGCTTTTGAATAGGACCATGTATCTGTGCCATGGTCAAACCTTTTTATAGAGCATTGAGACAACTATTGCAAGAAAATCCTTCACTTTGTAGATCTGGTCAAAGACCTCCCGACCAGCAAGGCCTTGCTTGGCCTTAGTTCGGCCTTGCAAAACCTTAAATCAGTTAATCAGGCCTTTTATCTGGAAAACCCAGCCTTCCCAAGCCTTCGTCCGAGGGGGTGAACAGGGGCTAGGCAACAGCCTTTTGTATGGACTCCCACCAAACATGCCTTTGTAGCCATGCCCTCGGCCTACCGGTCCCGTTAACAACAGGTTGAAAACAGTTCGGTGAGCAGAACAGGACGGAAGGGGTTGCTTGAAACAGTTCGAACAAGGAATTACCCATGACCCAGGTGGACCTGTCCTATGACATGTCCAAGCCCGGCCTGGCCCCACCCGCGGATCTGCGGCTGCTGGTGGACTCCAAGGAGGTGAAGACGGGAGACCATAAGCTTTAATTTCCTTGTTCTGGGAGGTTCCATTTTAAACGTTCCCGGGACATGGGGATGTAGAAAGCCAAGTAGGCGGCTAGTGACCTAGCTCATAATCTACTAAGCCTGAAGTGGAGCCAGCCAAACGCAAGAAGTTATAGCCTGGTTACAAACCTTCGGAGTCACAGAGTTGTTAGAGGTGGGGTCCGTGCGCGTGGAGAAGTCCATCCGCTTCTCCTTTGACCTGGCGGAGACCTTCGACGTGGGCACGGACCTGGGCTCTCCGGTCTCCCTGAACTACGCGAAGCGGGCGCCCTTCAGCTACCCCGCAGCCATCCACGTGCCTGGGCTGGCTGGGCCCTTTTAACCAACTTTGCAACTTGTGGGGAAGACTAAACTAACAGGGGAAAAGTTGGGCTTCTAGTTTTCCAGGTGTTTGGCTCAGTCAGAGAGTTGCTTCACAGCCGTTATTTTTTGGCCAGGGCAGTTTGTTGTTTTTGTCATGTTGTGTTGAGGGTCTTTTGGTTTGGCTTTGCCTTTTTTAGGGTCGTGCCAAATAGATGTTTCGTTTTGTTCCTTTGGGTTTCCCATCAACAAGGGTATCAAAATAGAGCCCGCGCCATTTTTGTTCGCACGGTTCCACCGAGGTGGATGATCTAAGAACCCGCTTGACTGGGCCAACCTTTCAAATATTATGTAAGTCTCTGCCTTTCTTTACTAAAATGATGGTAGATTCAACTCCTGGGCGCCGACCAAGGCAGTGAACGTCAAGTACACAAATTACAGTCGCGCAAAGACCGTCGTGATTTGATTCGGCGAATTCGATGATTTAAAGCGCGGCCACAAGGGCAACGCGACAATTATGTTTTCTTGTTTCGCGTGAGCAGCGCCCAAACCGATTCTCATTGGCCACTTATACACATAGGTTCTGCTAGCTCAAGGGGTCATAGAAAGAGCTAGGCGTACTAGATCATAGAAGCCAGCACGTCAGGAACTTTCACAGGAAGTTGTCGCCAAATATCAAGCGGTTCCTTTTAGGAATTTCCTTGATTCGCTGGTTTCCATGAGTAGAAAGATGCTACACAAAGATAATAGATAGGGACATATGCGCCATGCGTTCTACCAGACGTCGATGGTTCAAACTGGTCGCTGCTCATGTCAACAATGGGGGGGCAGCTGTGCCCCTCTTGGCGGGCTTCGCTAGATCTGGTGAGACTTGCTGAAATGTGCGCCCGGGTGGCTGAACTTAATTGGCGGTGGATTGGTGGTTTGGGGACTCGAGCTCCTTTGGAGAACACGCCCGAATCTTCAACCCACCACTCCAAGCCACCAATTTGGGTTTGGTTCAAGGGACACTCAAAGCAATGTCGACCGATTTTTGCTTTCCCCGCACGCGTTGACACAACCATACGACCAGAATTGTTGGCTGCCGTTTGAAAGGCCCAAGGAGTGGCGACCGAAGCAAAAGCCCTTGGAGTTGGGCGGTGGGTCCCGATTGCATCCAATGATTCTTGCCGCTTTGAAGCGCTGAATCCTTCCGCCTTCCTCGGCATGCTCATGGGGACAACACATGCTAGGCGTTCCAGGCCCCCTATTCGAGGGGGAGGTTAGAACAAAAGAACATATGCAGGAGTCTCCAGCAAAACGGAACCCGCGTCTCCCATGTCCTTGGGCAGGGCTTCCAGAATTTTTGAAGGCGTAGTGAATCGAACCGGAATGGCGTTTGAGCTAACCCTCTTACGGCATCTCACAAAGGACTTGAAGTGCCTTTGAAGAACCGATGCGGCTTGGGTCCCACCGCACTTAGTGGCTATGCACCCCGCGGCTCGCTCCTACAAAATCGGTAGGGTTTAGGCTTAGGGTTTCAAACTGTTGGCGTGTGAGAAGTGTCTTTAATGGGGCGCCTATCTAAAACCTTTCACGGCGCCCCTCATCACTAACTTTTTGGGGTTTGGGGTGTAGTTAGCACTCCCACCCCAGTTCTTTAGGTTCTGGACAGCGTGTTTTCATTGGCAGGGCCAACACATTTTACGTTTTTGGAGGTTAGGTCAAACCTACACAGACACATGGATTTTCTTGGTTTTCTTTTTCCAGAAAACGCTGAGCTTTATTAGGATTCCTAATGAGATCCAAATTGGGTTTTGGGCTTAGGGTTTGGGACCTGGGGGTTTTAGGGTTTATAAGTTTAGCCTTGGGGGTTTTGGGCATGTGGGTCGATAAGATCTGGGTGGCGGGGGTCTGGGAGGCGGGTGGATGGGTGCATGGGTGGGATGGATGGGGGGGCTAAGTCAATTCTGCGAAGTCAAAGGGTCAAGGGTAAGCAGGTCCAAGCCTGGAAGGCCGAACTTTGCGCTTCGCTTTCAATCCCCCTACCCACCTCTTCGCCGTTCCAAAATGTTTGGAACGGGTCAAGCGTCGTCACGGCGGTGCAGGCCATTGCCGCGTTGCGGATGGTGGGGGTGACGCAGGTCTGGGTGGCACAGTTCGGTGGCAAGGTGCCCCATGACCTACCCCACTGCTTTCGACATGGGATACCGTCTCCAGACCCTTTGCACCTTTGCGTGTTTGGGCGCGGTTTTGGACATCTTTGTCAAGAGAGAGTGGAAAGTTCTTGCAGGCATACTCACCTAGAAGCCACCTGGTCAAGGCCAACGAGAACTACACATCCGCCCACCACTATGAAAAGCCTAAGGGGCAGGAAGGCAGGTTTGGTTGCTTTGGTTGACACGATTCTGTGCAACCTAAGCAAGGCCGGAGCGGCCAGGATTGAAGTCAGGTGCATGTGCAAGGATGGCTGACAGTCCAGCAGACCAGTCAGAGGGTGTCACAATGGGCTGCTTTGCTTGCAAATAGGGTTTAGGGTTTAGGGTTTAGGGTTTAGGGTTCACAGGATTTGAGACATGGAAATCTTCATAGCGACGTCAATCAAAAGTTTCGATATCAATCCCACCCACCCAGGCCCGCTACCAAGGGCCAGCTTCCACACCAGCGCAAATCAACAAATCGAACGCAGCGTGACCGACGAAGTAGGTGACGAGTTGCAAAAATTGGCGAGCAGCGAACAAGCCGAATTGGCAGGCGGCAAGCGGTATGTTGCAAGGGCAGAGAGTAGCTGCGAGTTTCTGCGCGCAAGGGGCCGGCTGAGTTGCAGCACGCCCCGCCAGCTTGGAAGTTCTGCGCCGCGCGAAGCCAAGAGCGTTTCGGCCGCGACCGCGAAAGTGCTCAGAGAGCTGATCAAGCATAACGATAATGAACGGCTGCCGCGCTTTTTTGATTGCCGGGAGTGGAAAACCACGGCGCGGCCACGAAAAACATTGCCCAGCAGCGCCCGCGGCCCACTAGGCCACCAGCCCCGCGGCGGGGCCCCGGCGCGCCCGCGGTCCAGCCGCGGCCAAGAGGGCCCGACCTAGAAAGCGCGCAAGTTTAGCGCGTAGCAAAATTTGCGATTTTGGCCCCGAACTTGGATTTTAACAACGAAACCGATTTAGAAGCTTGCGGGACACGCGCAGAACTGAAAAGAAAGTCTTAAGAAAGCCCCCATATATACTAGAGTAGAGAATAGAGGTTTAGGGTTTAGGGTTCACAGGATTTGAGACATGGAAATCTTCATAGCAACGCCAATCAAAAGTTTCGATCTCAATCCCACCCACCCAGGCCCGCTACCAAGGGTCAGCTTCCACACCAGCGCAACTCAACAAATCGAACGCAGCGAAAGCAAAGCGGCGAGAGGGCGCGCGCGCAGCGCGACCGACGAAGTAGGTGACCAACTGCAAAAATCGGCGAGCGGCAATCAAAACAAATTGGCAGGCGGCAAGCAATAAGGGCAGAGAGTGGCTGTGAGTTTCTGCGCGCAAGGGGCTAGGAAACTACGTCCGCTGGCAGCCCCAACGGCTTGGCGATGATTTCGAGTTCATGTTTAGCTGAGTTGCAGCACGCCCCACCAGCTTCGAGGTTCTGCGCCGCGCAAAGCCAAGCGTTTCGACCGCGAAAGTGCTCAGAAAGCGTAATGATGACGAAAGGCTGCCGCGCTTTCTTGATTGCCGGAAGTGGGAAACCACGGCGCGGACCACTGGGCCACAGAAGCTGCGGCGGGGCCCCGCCGCGCCCACGGCGCAAAATCTGCCCAAACTTGGATTCGAGCAGCGAAACAGATTTAGAAACTCGCGGGAAACACAGAGAACTGAAAAGAAAGCTTTCAAAGCGCGCGCTGACTCAGCGCAAAGCGCGCGCCAGGCAGGAACCGAGCCCGGGACCACCCGCTTCAGAGACGGACGCAGGACCACTAGACCACCAGCCCCGCGGCGGGGCCCCGGCGCGCCCACGGTTCAGCCGCGGCCAGGAAGGCTCGACCTGGCGAGGCAAAATGTGCGATTTCCCGAACTTGGATTTGAACAACGAAACTAAGAAAGCCCCCTGCGGGCGCACCCGTTGTAGGGCAAACATTTAAATACCTGGGGCCGGCTTGTCCCTCATTTTTGTGTCTGGCCTGCTTTTTGGATTGAAATACGCCCCTTTCGTGAGAATACGCCCCTTTCATAAAAATACGCCCCTTTCATAAAAATACGCCCCTTTCCAAAACAGCGCGTGTCTGTCAAAATGCTGTTTGCTCCACGTGATACACCTTTGCTTTACTTTAAACTGCTGCTAGTTCTCGAGAATGGGATGAAAATACGGCTTTTTTTGGCGAAACAGCTAACAACGCGCTTACGCTCTCACACCGCTCCAACAAACCACACGTGGAAGACATGTGGCCCACCAACCTGACCAAGATCCCGCTAAACGTCCGGATTTTCGCTGCTTAGGCCTGCAGTTTCAACGGCTATTTCAAAACGATGTGCTGTTCAGTTGTCTTCTCAGAGCGGGAAAGACTACAACAACTCATTTGACAGATCTGCTTTTAACTGGATGTTGCACCGCAGGTGCTGCGTGTTTTGCTTACTGATTGTTTCTGCCCTTGCGCAGCAAGCGTGCGCCAGTCCAACACTGCAACAACCACCGCGCAAAATGCAAGAACACGCCCGTGCATTGGCATGCCCGATCAGTATCACAGCTGAAAGGAAAATCATACCAACAAGCCCGCGCTACAGTAACGCTAGCAGTCAACAAGCGGCAGCATGACTTTGGACCATACGTGCCCATATGCAACATCACAAAAACAAGGCCAGGACTGTTGCGCCAATCAAAAGCAAGGCAACCTCTATACCTGCGCTTCACCCAAGCAGCAGGCACCAGAATCGTAAGTAAGCACTCACCCATGAAATCCCGAAAGCCAGTCAATGCCGAGGGCGCAAATTGCGGTCGTTTCCCTGAAACAGCAGCCTGCTTGCAGAACCACTGAACCCCCAAACAGTGCCGACAGGTCAAGATGAAACATTCCTGCCCCATAGCCGAAATTTGTTTGGCGCACGGGGCGATGTTACAAAAACAATGGTTGAGAGCACGAATGCTCAAACCGCAAACATGCCAAAAACATGCTAGAATACGTACAAAGTACGTATTTCTGTACGCAAAAATACGCCCTTTGTACGCAAAAATACGCCCCTTGTACGGGTACTGGCTGGGCATACCAAAAGTACGTACTCGGTACGTATTTTGTACGTATTTTGTACGTATTCGGCACGTTCTGCGGAAATCCAACAAATCTCATGAAGTTTTCAGCAAAGCAAATATCCCAAGATCGAAAGCCGGCATTTAGAGGTGCGGGCGCACTTGCGAAATTGAAGCCTTTGCAAAGCTGAGCCGAAACTTGCTGTAGCGGGCGCAAAGGTAGAGTGTAGATTTGTTTTCCAAGGATCTTACTTCTAGAACAGCATGCTCAGTTAGTTTATGCGTAAAGGCCTGCAAGTAAGTGTCCCAATATGAAGAAAACATATTTGTGCGTCAGTGGGCTGCTTTAGTGGAAGTTCCGCAGCA